AGTTCCGGCAAACAATACCGAAAAAATCAAACGGTACATAAAAAATACAATTGAATCACTTCCGCATGGATCGGATTGATTTACCTTCCGGGAGGTATATAATATTTTTAAAATCTATATATAAGACGGATGTGATGATCACCGTTTCTGCTTGTTAGTTTAAAGAATCAAGTCAGTCTTTTTGTATCAGTGACAGTAATGTCAGTCTTTTCGTATGAGTGGCAGGAATGTCAGTCTTTTCGTATGAGTGACCATAATGTCAGTCTTTTGTATGAGTGACCATAATGTCAGTCATGGGAAGCATCATAATACTAAGATTGTTAAGGAGCCACATGGTACGCTTTAAAAAAGTCAGCACTCTGTCTTCGACTCGTAAGCTGTTTTCGTAAGTATCCATGGATTTAATGATATATAAATATAAAACTTCAAAAGGGCCGAAGTGTTCATAATTGACTGAGTCGCCCGGAGCAATATTAGAGACTCGCTCGGATTAATATTAGGGACTCGCACGGATCAAGTGAAGTCACACTTGCAAGAGAAAATCACTCAGGCGCCCTTCTCTTCAAAGTCTTCGCTTTATCATAAAAAAAATAAAAGGTGTCTTTGGGATCGAAGCGGATGATTACGAAATGCAGGTCGTATCATCTATAGCACATTTTGGTGCAATCGTACATATACATTTATCCGTTGCATTTGAAGTGCAGGTTGGTGTTCGTAGTTGGAACACAAATGAAGAGGGGGACGTTAAATGAGAAGGTGAAAGCATTCGTTAATGGAGCCCCGTTAGGTACAATACAAAGGCTTTGTTGTAGTACGAATTGTGGGGTTCTGCCGTTGGTGGATTTTTTCTTAACAAACTGGTGGATAGGTTCCACCTTCTAAATCTCGTTGGCCAAAAAAAAGAATGGCATGTTTCATGCACAACCTGCATAAAAAATAAAAATTAAACTTAACGGAAAAATTAATTCCGGATCTATATTTTGATGACAGACATTTTTTCCAGAATGACCTTTGTGTGTTTTGGCTATAAACTTCTTCCGAAATAATGTCTGCGTTGCAGTTTTCAAGTTTGTGACGTTTTCCCCACAATTTTGAAATATTTAATTACTAATGGAAAAGTATTCCCGTTCCATTGAAACTAAATCAAAGTCATCTGATAAATATTTTGGAAATACAGTTACGGATGTAGTATTGCAGTTTAGAGAAATCTTGCTGATGTTACACCTTCCCCAGGTTTCATTCAGAGTTGTACAGTGCGACAATCAAACAGAATATAATCGTATGTTTGAGAAGCTTATCGCGGGTCATCAGACGTGCATGAAATTAATCAGAAGTGATATTCCTGGCATTTCGTCCTTGCCATCAGCATATTCTCTTGGTTTTAGCTTCGGGGAGTTCCACAATGCAAGATGTGACATATGCTAGATGAAACATTTATCTTTGATGTGCATCATGTCATCTGGGGTTGATGGGATTTTTGGGACGAAGCGAAAGAGCATGATTAATAATTGGAAAGCAAAGCTGAAAAAGTGTAACCAACGGGTTTATGACACTAGCATCATAACCGGTATTTCAGCCACTCGGGCTATGAGAAAGTCTATATTTTTCAGACACAAAATGACCATAACAGAAGACTCACGTACGTGAGTGAGGTATTAGGTTCTTCCAACCACTATTTGACCTGGCTTGTAAATTTGACTCTCCAATTCAATTCTATCGTTAAATCCAAATATTGCAACTTGTAAATCTAGTGGAGCAATGGCTTGGGATGGAAGTTATTTCATTCTAGTAGTTTATCGTTCTATCATAGCCAATCAATATTCAATTCCATTGTATGTAAATGACATGATAAATGTAACAATGGTCGCTAACTACCAGAAAGTTTGTGTGCTCTCGTAGATGTAGGCACTTGCCCAAACCCCGAACATATCGTCGTTGCTCTTTTTCATGAAGAGTCACACCTCACTGGGATGATCATTAATGTAACATCCCGGCGGTTTCGATGGTTACAGATAAGCTTTTTAACAAAGCTTTGTAAGATTAACCTTTAATGTTCAATTTGGACCAAGTCATTAGCAAAATTCAAGTAGACATTGCCTGGAAATGAGGTCGAATAATTTTTTTAGAATCGATGTTGCCAGAAATTTACATTACGGTTTCTTTTATTAGTTAGTAGAAAACTCCAGATCGTTATCTTTGTATTCGTCAAGTTTCAGCCAGAGATCCCTAGTCATATTCTTTATAGTTCTTCAGATTAAAGTTTTACAAAAAGTTAAAATTTGCCAATACTCTATTTTCTTAGACATGAAACTCTAGATGAAAAAATGCAACAATTGAAATTCATAACCTTCTTCTCGTAACCTTATTCCAATATTAGGTCATCTCTTTTCACAGCCACGGGAGTTGTGACTGATGTTGTTTTGCAGGCTGTATCTCGCAACTTTGTTTTATGAATGAGTGAATTATAATTTGGAATAACATAAAGTGACCCTTCCAAAGGGGGCATGGCGACAAATACATGGTGCAAAAACCACACACATTAATAGTCAAGATGTTCTTAGTAGCAATGACAATTGATTTAGAACAACAATCAGCCCTTAGCAATATCGCCTATCTAGAAAGCTTCCAGAAAAGAATAGGCTGTTAGTGTTTCATGAAAATTTTCAGAATAAGTTGGTTTCGAGGTTGAGAATGTGTGAAATAGGCGTACTATACTCAATGTTTGCAACCAAAATTTCAATTGCTGCAGTGGTGACGACACTCACCTAATGCCTTGCCACGCTTGACTATTACCCCCTTTTAAGTGTGACCATCTGCATGCTATTTTGCATATTGAACCTTGATTGTTGCTAGACCATTATTAACTTTCGATGCCCGATGCTTGAATGGCTAAAAATATGTGGCAATTTTCATTTGATTTGACGAATGCCAAAAAGGGAAGAAAAAAAGAAAAGTCACAAAATCTGTCAAATCTGGATCATCATCATTTTTTTTGATATTTAATGAGAGTATATTTTTTGGTGGTTGTTACATCGTTTCGTTTCAGTTTATTTTTAAAAATTACAAGACAGTCACATTTCATAGTTATAGTTGTAAGGAATTACATAGATCCCCCCCCCTCCATATTAACTATTACCTACAATTCAATAATAATAGATCATTTTATTTGAATCTAAAATTTTTAGTGAATTTGACCATTTTGAAAGATGAGACAAGCTAATATTTCCAATTCCTCATTTCAGAATACCGAGGCTAGTCCAGTAAGACTGGCAACTCCGGCATCTCTCAGATCTAGCAATTCAACTTCCAATCTAAGGACAGTCATGCCAATAACAAACATACAGAATCTGCATCTGCAACAGGACCATTCAAGTTCAAGTGTTTCACAAAGTTATGAAGAACAAATTTCAAATCTAAATAGTCTTGCCTCCCAAGGTCTCGACCTTAAGACAATTGGGAAACATTTAGTAAGCCCTGAAGAGAGTTTAAAATTACAAGGTGGAGATATAAGTCGTCGTTTGTATCATCAATTAGAGCATGCTGCAATTGCCGATGAAAATCATCCTGATGGAATTAATATTCCTGACCCAAAGAAAAGAACTAGAAGTTCATCATTCTCAGCATACTTGGAAGAGACGAGAAGAGGTTCAACAGCAAGTGATATCAACGTGCCTGGTGGATTCAGGCGTGAATTTTTAATTCAGCAAGCAATTCAGAGGAATCAAGAACCTCCTAACTTTTTAACAAGAAACTTTATGGAATTCTTGAGTATTTATGGACATTTCGCCGGGGAAGATTTTAGCGATGAGGAAGAAGGCGTGTCAGAAGAGTCAAGTCAATATGAAGACGTTTTTGACGAAGAATCGAGCTTGTTGGCTGTAGAAAGAAGAGCATATGGAACTGCACCTCGCCAGCCCAAGAAACTGAGACCGAAATTTAGAGAACAACCAACAGGAACTGCTTCTATACCGAAAGCGTTCTTCTTGGTATTTAAATCTTTAGTAGGTTCAGGTGTCTTGTTCTTACCTCGTGCATTTTATAATGGTGGGTTATTATTTTCAATAGTGACATTGACCATGTTTGGTTTGCTAACTTATATTTGTTACATTGCATTAATAGACGCAAAGAATACACTTGGTTTGACATCATACGGTGAACTTGGATATAAGACGTATGGGAAACCCTTGAAATATTCTATTTTGGTATCGATTATCATTAGTCAAATTGGGTTTGTTACTACATATATCTTATTCACCAGTGAGAATATGATTGCGTTTATATCACATTACTTAGAGACTACACCAGATTGGTTAACTAGTGTCAACCTTGTTATCATCCAATGTATTGTGATGATTCCTTTAGTTTTGATCAGAAATTTGACCAAGTTATCTTTAGTCTCAGTAATCTCATCAGCATTTATTATCATTGGGTTAGTGATTATATATTGGTTCTCGGGGTTGAATATTTATTTGAATGGTATTGGTCCTAATATTACCAATTTCAATCCTAATAGTTGGACAATGTTAATTGGTGTCGCAGTTACATCTTTTGAGGGTATTGGTTTGATACTACCAATCGAGGCTTCGATGAAACAGCCAGAGAAATTTCCAATGGTCTTGTCAATAAGTATGGTTGTTATAACGGCGTTATTTGTTGCCATTGGTACCTTAGGTTATCTTTCATTTGGAGATGAAGTTAGATCAATCATCATTTTGAATTTACCCCAAAGTAGTATTGCTGTACAGTCGATTTTAGTATTGTATTCCATCGCTGTATTTTTGACTGCTCCTTTACAATTATTTCCAGCTATTAAGATTGGTGAATCATTGATTTTCAGACACAAACGGAATGGCCAAAGAGACGATGATGGGAAATTGTATCACCAATCTGGTAAGTATAATCCATTGGTCAAATGGTTAAAGAATTTATTTAGAGCAATTGCTGTGATTGTGATAAGTACTGTGGCTTATCTCAACGCTAATCATATTGACAAATTTGTGTCATTTAACGGATGCTTTGCTTGCATTCCGTTAGTGTATATATATCCGCCATTAATTCATTTGAAGACTATGAGATCAGATTCCAAGACCACAAAAGAAAAGATATTTACCATATTTGATTATTTATTAATTACAGTGGGGATTTTAACCGTTATTTATTCAACATATCAGATCTTATTCTTGAATTAGACAGTTTATAGATTACAGACTTAAAATACATTCACATGCATACATTAAGTCGGAGAAGTATACCGTCCTCTAGAACACGACCTTCCATTATGGTGTTCTATTTTTCCTCTTCAAAGTTGTTTGTTCGTTATTTCATACTCTTGTTTCGTTCCCCTCCTTTAAATAGAATGCGCACGAAGAAAAAAAAATACATTGGAACGGTAGGTCGAGCCCCTACCGTTGAATTGTTCTTGTAATTGCGGCCGACCCAAAAAAAAAATTAGTACCAGTTTGGGGGGGGGAGAGAGATTTTTATTAATCATCAAATCACAACAAAGAATTTAATCAACTCATTTAAATTGGTTTTTAATAAAACAATCGACACATTATTAAGGAGGCGCAAATTGCTCATGGAAGCTTGCTGTTGTGTTCTTATTGTTTACTACGGGAAATTCGCTTAAGACTCACACAACTTTAACACATTAAACTCATTTTGCATCACACGGGATTTGTTGTAAAAAACCGTTATTTTTAATTCACATTTTCATCCATTTTAATTATTCCTTTTTCCTTATAAATATACAACTGTTAGGGTTTGCTACGACTATGGATCTGCCACAGCTGTCTTCGACAGCAAGAAAACGAAAGGGGAATAATACAACAAATTCAGTGTCTAAGCCAGATTCTCCAATGTCCGAATCAAACAAACAACCAAAAAAATTGAGTTGTCAACGATGTCGTTCACGTAAAGTCAAATGTAACTTCGAGATCCCATGTAATAACTGTTTGAAGGCAGGTGTCGAATGTGTCCAAACTACTGATGATATGCGTAAGAAGCGACCAGCTGCCAACTATGTTTCAAACCTTGAAAATAAAGTGGAGTCTTTGACTCGATTCATGAAATTATTTAAAAGCCTTGATTCAATAGAAAGTAAGACTGATTTAATCAATAAAACAGATCTTAATGAATTAATGAATAAAGAGTTTTTGGAAAATAAAAGAGTAAGTTCAAGCACCTCGGTATTATCGCATTCCTCGGGAGACCATCATGATGAAGATGAAGATCGAGCGTTTTATGGACCCACATCTATCTATGATGACAATTTAATGGCTGGAAATTCCAAACTCCTGAAAAAGGATAGAGATTCCTCGGTAATAAGTCGAATGAATAAGGATCCAGATATTTTAGCATGTCTCAAATTGTTTTTCACTTGGCAATACCCTGATCACAATATGTTCATTTTTAGAGAAGCATTCCTTCTTGACTTTTTTAATCCAAAACCCAACAGTTTGTATTGCTCGAAGATATTAGTTCTTAGTATCTGTGCCCTTGGTGCAAGAATGTCAGACGATGAAAAGATATATGATCGTTCCATGCTGTTTTATCAAGAAGCAAAATCCTTGTTATTGAGTCAGTTGAGTCAACCTTCAATAACTTCTTTGCAAAGTTTTATGTTGTTAGCATTCTATGATATTTGTAATGGACTTAATTCAAGTGGTTGGATGTTGTCAGGTAATGGGATGAGAATGGGATTTGATTTGGGTTTCCAATTAAATCCCCGAGTATGGTTTCTTAAATCAAAGGAAAGCTTAAGTTCATTAGATGTTGAAATTAGATCTAGAATCTATTGGGGATGTTATATGGCTGATCATTTTATAAGTTTATTATTGGGAAGACCATCTGTCTTGAAATTATCTGATTCATCTATTCCTGAAACAAATGATCTACCTGATTTAGAATGGATTGATGATTTCACTTATGAAGGATACACCAAACAAAAGCTCAAAATTCTTCATCAACCACAACCGAAGGTCTCATACATTTCAGATCCATTGAACAAAATAATTAACTTGATCAATATATCTGACAATATGTTGAATGATATCTTTACCAAATCAGATTCTGAAAATGATGATTCGAACAATGATGATTTAGATTTTGTTTCTAGATGGGAAAAGTTAACTGAATATAATTATCAAATTATGAATTGGAAGAATACCTTACCAGATGATTTACAATGGAATCGTGAGAAATTGAAATTGACCGGTGAGAATCCCACCTATTCTGGTATAAGATATTACTACTATATATTATTGTTATGTCTTAATAGACCGTTTGTTGGTATTGAAAGTGACAGAATTCCACCACAAGACCATTATTTATCCCCGTTGTCCATTTGCTCCAATGCCATTGACGATTTATATGAGTCCATCAAGAAGTTTCAAACGTCTCATGGATATAGGAGAGTTTCAATTTTCATTGTGTACTCTTCGATTTTGTCGATCTCAATTATCTTGTTAACGAACACTAGCGAACAATTAGTGAATGAGAAAAAGGACAGATTGCAATTCTTTATGGCAGTTTTATATGGTTGTTCAAAGACTTGGAAGTTAGCTGAAAAGTCGTACAACTTAATTAAAATCAAATTGAAGCATAGGTACGAAACAGGTGAATTACAAGAGAGTGAAAGCATGACTCAAGCTAAGAAACGAGCAAGAGTGAAGCTTGAGAAACCTGTCATTCCCATGGCACTCAAAGCAAACCTTCTTAGTTCAAACCATGCAGACTTGCCAATTATGCAATCACCACAGCCAGCCAAAGTTTCAGTCGTTAGGTCCACATATACACCACTGAATCCACCATCCAGTTCGTCAGCGAACTTAAATCCCTCTCCAGCTTCAAGTATTGCTTCTGGTACTGCTTCTGTTGTAGATACAAACGCTGATTTAGTATTTGATGAGAATATAGATTTCCTTGGTGGACCACCGGTTTTGATGACTTCGGATTTATTTAATGAGGATTGGGAAGCTTTGTTCCCTGACTACATCTTCAATTCAAAACATTGATAGACATTTTTTAAAATAGAATATATATGCATGTATACTTCTCTTTGTATTATTACTTAATCATCTGCATACAAAATTATTCCTACTAGCGATACCCATGATAATTTCGCTGCAGCCTATCTCTTCCTCTGCTCGCACGATATAATTTATCTTTGCTTCAGCAACAGCGCGAATTTAGGTCGAGGGATCTTTTTTCTGGTCGAGAGTTTCAATGTTCGTTTTAATTTGGGTCGAACGTTACTCTCACCTGCCACCTTGCCATTTGAGTTCTACCCAGAAATTATACTTAATCAATTCGCTTCCTGACTTTCATCGACTACATATGGGTACTACTAAAAAGGCTCTTATGCCTCATTTTCTAGTTTTGAAGGTGCACTCATAGTGTTCTGCTTTTATGTTGGAAGAAGCCATCGCGTTGTGGGTTTGAATTCGCTTCATTACACCTGAGAGTATATGCTAAGCTTGGATCCAGATTTTCTCATATTTCTATTGTCTTTGGAATTTCATCTCTTATTCCAATCTATTCATGGGTGTGTTTTTCAGCACGTTCAGTCCACCGCATTTGGGCAGGGAAAGTAGTTAAAATTTCAGTTGACAAACATAGTAACAAACTTCAAGTGACAAACTTCAATAGAAATCAAAAGGATAGTATATACTCCAATATATAAGCTGGTTACATTCTTGAGATATCTATTACTCCAAAGGTAAATTAATTAATCGTTAGGCAAGATGATTAAAATTTTTGCAACCAAAAAATTTGATTTCGCAACAATTCATTTAATAACGTTAATTCGAATCAAAAATCACCATTTAAAAATATACCTTTAATAAATCTTAAAGATGAGAAGGTTGTTTAGCCTTTGAAAAAGAAATCTGCATAGGTAGCTGAATATCTACCTGGAGATTAAAGTTGCAAAAAAAGAATGATTCTGCCCAGGATCGAACTGGGGACGTTCTGCGTGTTAAGCAGATGCCATAACCTACTAGACCACAGAACCATTTCTTGAAATTTACATTTTCAAAATTTGAACGAGTCGGGTGATTTATATCACGTGTCCGCTAACAATTTTGGGCCGAATTTACCCTCGTTATTAAATTCCACAATATTTATTTGGAACGTGATCAGGTCGGAATTGGTGGATATCAGGGTTTTTAAGGAAGTTATCCATATTAAATTTATTATAACCATCTGTTTCATATATAGAAGGTGGCTAAGGTATTTCAAGTTTATTCATAAATGCTTAGAGTCCCGAATTATGAAGTCTTGCAATAGTAATGGAACTTAAAAAATTGTATGAAGAACAGATGGTTGCGAAAAATTTCTTGATCCAATGTTTGACTTACAACATCTCTTCGAAGGGTATCCAGGGCCATATCAATGAATTGTAGTTGTTAAATACAGCTTTTCAATATCGGAAAAATCTCTCTGTTTATTTGTTCAATTATTGCCAAGTAACTGCCCAAAATCTGCTTCTTTCGTGGCATCATATTTCCCTACCATCATGGTGTAGAGAATCTCGCAGGAGATCTCTGCATTTCATATCTCCATTCTCTATGAAAGTAATTAGAATATACAATAAGTAAGTTTATAACCCCACTGTCTTTTTCATTGACTGGAACCTCCTGGGAGACCACCTTAAGAATTCCCCCCAAGTTTTATTTTCATTTGTTATTGGCCGCAAAATCTGTGAGGAACGCAAGAAATGCTCGGAAGTCAAAAGAACTTTTCTGCGTCAGCTTCCTGGATTCCAATAATGGTGAAACTACATAAAGAACGCAATATGAAGTTCGTCACTTTGGGTCGAGAAACCAGATCTTTTCCGAACCAAAAGAAGAAAATATATGTTACTTCCACCACTGTATAAGACACAAGTTGCAACGAGTCCTCTAGCTGCGTTTACTTGTCAATTCAATTTGGCAATGTTTATTCTACAAGTCAATATATTACTATCTACACATCCTCGCTCCATATAGAGTCTTCAACAAAGTATAGCCAGCTGAAACCATTCCAACTGCTTATTATCCCAACCGCACAATAAACACTGTAAATCATCAAATTCAAGAATTCTAAATTTTTCAACACTGGGAATTTATTCTTGAAAAGATCAACCAAACTGGTAAAAGTAATCACAATAACTAATCCTAGGATATATCCGTTCACGACCCTATCTAATATAATTCCTCCTTGCGATTCCATTGTTTTAGGTATACGAACAACCTTCTTGAAATTGAAGTAAAATATTATATACCATAAAAACGTATATGCTACCTTCAATAACCATTCATTGGCTGTGTATATTAATGGGAAGAGGGATGCATATCCACAACTGACCAATAAACTATATGGGGAAAGAAGCTTCTTATCCCTCGCTACAAGTAATGACATTGGGAATATAACAATTAAGATTGCTTTTTCATGTACATGCCATCCGAAAACAAAAGAAGCATAACCACATAATGTCAAAGCACCGACAAAACGTCTATAGTTTGGTTGGAGGAATAATGGTATTAAAGCCATTATTTGATAAAATAATGTGAGCAAGAAAGTCAACTTGGGAGTTATTGTTGGAAGAATAAAGAATTCTATATCTCCCACAATTCCTCTTGTGGATGATCGCAACGCCTGCTCATTGGCAAGTAGCTCTGGATCAACCTGGAATATTTTCTGTAAAGGGTATTTTGCCATTGGTACACGTTTATAGATCTGGATGAAAAATCGATCGAAAAATGAATAGATGGCCCACATGTTTGGTGCCCAGTAAGCATGAGTCAATCCACGACTAAATGGAAACAATCGTTCTAACAAATTGGGCATAGCCTGATAATAAACGAAGGGGCCAAATGCAACTGCGAATACAGCAACAACAACTGATCCTAGTTTAAATAGATTTTTCCATTGAACAAAATTGAAAACATTAACAATCCAGTTTCTCTTCTTATCATAGTTAAAACGCAAACAGTACGCTCTCAAAAGGAAGACAAAAACAGCCGGAGCCAAATATAGGTATATATGTTTGAAGCATAATAATACCGAAAACCAAAATCCACACATCAAGTAATTCTGAAGTCTAGCAGAATTAATACTGAGCAATAATATTCCATACATCATTCCATTATACTGGAAGTGGATATGATCAATAATTATCAAACCTGGGGACAATGCGAGACTTGCAGTAGCAACGTAAGTTCTTCTTCTGACAGCGTGTGTTGGACAAGTGTCGATAATGTGTTGCAATGCCAAGAACAAAACAATTTCACTGACAATAACTGTGATTCTCTGAAAATATACTGTTGGTAAACCATATACTCCCTTTTCAACGATATCTAAGCAACCATCTCTCTTTACAAAATCAGGAACCATATAAGATAAAGCCCATTCGAAGTAAGCGAAAAATGGAGGGTAATCCAATGTCCATTGAGAAGTCTTTTCGATATACCATTTTGACATGGGTATGTTGTGGGTAATCGCGAGCCAATTCCTATGAACATCAAAGTCAGTCGAATGATATCCGATGGCAATTAACAATTTAAGAGCTAATAGAATTATCCATATATTAAACAAAGAGTATTTCTTCCCATCTTGATCTTTGTTGACATATACCTTGGGTTTGGGTGGTGGTGGCCGCTGCTCTATTGATGTTTCGGTTTCTTCCGTGGATTGAGATGCTTTGGGTTTTGGTTTCTTTAGTATAGACTTCAATGGCTTGTCTTTATTTGTGGCTTTACCTTTAGCCATTTTGATTGAAATTGCTTGCTTCTGAATCGGCCAATCTTGAGTTTTTAGTTTTGATTTTTTTCCTGTTTATTATTGAATTGATTTTAGTCTAATTTTTTTTTTTGGCCACACTTACAGTACAACGCTACCAATGAAAAAGCTTCATTTCAAATTTACAAATAGATACCCACTAACTATCAATTAATGATTTACCAAATGAATCCTACTTTATCCAGTTAGAAAGGATTTGAGTTGTACTGCATTTTAAAATATATTCAATTTTTATCCTTGTCTGAGTAATAAAATAAAATAGTTCACTACAAATTTAGAAAATTTTGCAGCAATTAATTTTTTTCTTTTCCATGCTCTTTTCAATTTGATCCCATTGCTAACTGTTTAAGAAGTATTTACGATAATTGGATAGTTTGAACAATCCTTGACCATTTCAGTTTGGTATTTATAGAATATATAGTCCCACTTGTTAATTGTTTTGAATAAGTTTTGAATGGAATTTATGTGAGGAATGGATTTTAACTCCCTGCAAGGACATTTTCAAATGTATCGTGCAGACTGTTCTGAATTATTCTGAATTAAAATCATGTAAATAGAGTGACTTCATAAAATATATTACAATTTACCAGAATATGGCTCTCATGAGCCTTCAAAAGATGATCAGAAACCTCTTGAAACGGAGCTTAATTTCAATCGCACTTCTAATTTTCATCAACTAGTTCCTTGAGCCCAAACACTTTAGAAACATAAAACCTGATTCTCTATCTTTATATAGTGGTTATCCTCAATTATAAATCATCTTTAGATGAATATTAGTTATCGATAATGAAGTCATTTCAACTTGAATTCCTTGCTTACAAAGTTTTTGTCAAAAAAATTGCAAAATTTTTCAAAAATCACGCGAAAGTCACGCATATATCACACGTAAATCATGTGAAAGTCACGCAAAAGTCACGTGCACAAATTTAATGCCATTTACTTTCAAACACCAAAATTTCAGAAAAAGCCTGGCTAGCTCAATGGCTAGAGCGTTTGACTTTTAAGAACACTCATTCTTGAGAGGTATCAAAAGGTTGCGGGTTCGACCCCCGCGTCGGGCTTCTTTTTTGAATTACTTTTTTTTCTCAATGTTTGCCTTTCGAAAAATTTCAAAGAATGTTAATTTTTTTTTGCACATCTTCCATACTTTTTAAGAACATCATTCAAAGCAATAGAATTATAAAGAAATGTCTAAAGACTCAAAGGTAGATGCTGATGCATCTGAGATACTTGCATCCCTTTCACTCGGTACAACAACCAAACCCAAAGAGGAAAAAGTACCTGAAAAAGAAAAGGAATCCGTAAAAGTTGAAGAGCCAAAGAAAGAAACAAAACAGAAAGAAGAAGAAGTAAAACCAGAAACTAAAGAGGATAAAAAAGAAGACTCAAAGTCAGAATCCAAAGAGGAGGATGATGACGACAAGAGTAATCTTATCCAATCCACATATGAAGTCAAAGTCAAATTGGCTGATTTACAAGCTGATCCAAATTCTCCATTATATTCTGTTAAATCTTTTGAAGAATTAGGATTATCACAAGAATTATTAAAAGGTTTATACGCCATGAAATTCAACAAGCCTTCCAAGATTCAAGAAAAAGCATTGCCATTATTGATCTCCAATCCACCTAAAAATATGATTGGTCAATCTCAATCAGGTACTGGTAAAACTGCTGCATTTTCTTTAACAATGTTATCAAGAGTAGATGAAAATCTTCCTTTTACTCAATGTATATGTTTAGCACCTACTAGAGAATTAGCTAGACAAACTTTGGAAGTCGTTTCTACAATGGGTAAATATACTAAAGTTACCACACAATTGCTTGTTCCTGATGCAATTGAAAAAGGAAAACATACCAATGCCCACATTATTGTTGGTACTCCAGGTATTGTCAATGACTTGATTAGAAGAAAACAACTCAATATCTCTAAACTTAAAGTGTTCGTCTTGGATGAGGCAGATAATATGTTGGAAGCACAAGGTTTGGGAGATCAATGTCTTAGAATAAAGAGAATTATACCTAGAGATTGTCAATTGGTTTTATTTTCTGCTACTTTTGCAAAAGAAGTTCGTTCTTATGCTGAAAAATTTGTGCCTAATGCAAACTCTTTGGAATTGAAACACGAAGAATTGAATGTCGAAGGTATTAAGCAATTATACATGGATTGTAACTCCGCCAATCATAAGTTTGAAGTGTTATGTGAATTGTATGGTTTATTAACTATTGGTTCTTCCATTATTTTCGTAGAGAGAAAAGAAACTGCCAACCAATTATACCATAAGATGAAGCAAGAAGGTCATACTGTTTCTATTTTACATGGTGGGTTAGAAACAGCTGATAGAGATAGATTAATTGATGATTTCCGTCAAGGTAGATCTAAGGTTTTAATTACTACAAATGTCTTAGCTAGAGGTATTGATATTGCATCTGTTTCTATGGTTGTTAATTATGATTTACCTACCGACAAAGATGGAAGAGCTGATCCATCTACTTACTTACATAGAATTGGTAGAACTGGTAGATTTGGTAGAGTGGGTGTTGCTATTTCATTTGTGTGTGATAAGAGATCATTTGAAATTTTGAATTCAATTAAGAATTACTTTGGAATTGAAATGACCAGAGTTCCAACTGATGATTGGGATGAAGTTGAAAAAATTGTTAAGAAAGTTATTAAGAGCTAATTAGATTAAATATATTTTTTGTAGTAATAGTATCAAAGATTGTATAGCATACCTATTTTTACAACAAGATTTGTAACAATTATTTATAATTATTCGATGGAAATTTCTATTTACAAGATATCATCAACTAATCTAGAATAAGTCAAGAGCTTGTTTATGTCTAGCTGGCATTCTACTAATAACAACATCCCAATCAATACATTCCCAAGCATTTTCTAAATATCTATCCTTACCATAAACACCATAGTCGAGTAAATAAGCGCTTGGAGAAACATCAATAGCTAAAAGAGGGAGCAAAGATTTATTATGGAAAGCAACTTCATATTCAGCATCTTCTACATTACCCAAACTTAATTGTTTAAGTTCTTCATCTATAGAAGAAATTTCAGCTACTTCTTCTGTAGTTTTATTTTCCTTTGCCTCTTTGGCTTTTCTCATTTCCATTAAAGATTTCATTCTTTTCATTTGACCAGCTCTATCACCGTCATTTAAAATACCTCCATTATAAGTATTAACAACTGCCAAATTTTGATATTTCACTCTACTTGGATCCATACCCAAAGTGAAATCTTGGGACACACCACTGACAGCAGCCAACCAAACAGTACCATCCCCTTTAATACCTCTACCTGAATTTAACAAAAGGGTACGGAATTCATCAACGGATCCAAAACTATCAGTAATCCAAGCTACAAATTCTTCATCTTTTGGAATATTAGCAAAAGTATCTCGTGGAGTTTCCAAAATTGCACCAGAACCTACTTTGGCGACTTCGTTTCCAGGTCTGACTTGTTGAACTGGTTTAATGTTTTCAAAAAAGAATTGTAAATTATATAAATATGATGCAGCTTTGTGAAGATCATAGAATTGTGGTTTGTTGGTGGTACTAGATATGACTTCCTTAAGATTGAAACCACTTTCATCAAATGAGGAGGTATCCAATTCGTTCAAATGGGTATTCACCTGGGTAGTCAAATCATGACCTCTTTTGAACCATAATTCTTGAAGTACTTGCTTGGAAAATAATCCACTAAAACCCGATTGTTCTGCAGCGAGAGCTTCAAGGGTTGGAATTTCTGCTAATTTGAAAGAAGCAAAACGAACTGATTGGGCATAGCGACTGGCAATGCTTTGCACCCTTATCTTGCTACCTGCTCTAAACATATTCTGTTATTGAAGATGTGATTCTGATTAGCCTTCTATAAAACTGTTGAAAATTTTTAAAGAATGAATTTTGATAATTTTTTTTTCCAAACCAAAAAAATCTCAATCACGTGACCATATTGAAAATTTGCAACAAAACCTTTATTGTAAACCAGAGTGATTAATTACTATTGAATGATTTTGGTAATAAATACTAAAAATTCATACAAACTAAAACTAATTAAAAGAGAAAATACAAATACACATAATAAATGAACATTTAAACAATAAAAAAAACAAACCTGAGAACCGTTCTCGGATATTTTAATCTACCTCGACAAAAATAAGAAATAGACTTTAGTCTCTCTAAACTTCGTCTACCACCTTCTTCTCAGCTGCGAAACTTCTCTGTTCATTCATGGAAAGTAATACTTCTAAAACACCCAACCCTTTGGATATGTCACAAATAAGTTTATATAAAAGTACCCCGAAATCTGGACAACATAAAAAAACCGTTCTCTAATTTCATAAAATAGAAAAAATAGTTACTGAAACAAAATAAACCCATTTCATTATTTCTTGACTTTTAAACTCTTTACTCTTCTAATAAATGATGATCCAGCCGAGGGCGGTTTCAACAAATCTCCTTTCTCAATACCACCGTCATTCAAAGGTCCCTTTATTCCACCTTCTGAATGAGAGGCATATATTCCAGTTAGGGGCTCTTTATCACCAGAGTTTCTTCTTGTATTAGTTTCCGAAGAACTATTCTTTCTTAATCTTTGTGCCAAAGATTTCTTCCTCCCTAATGAATTGGCGGCATTTAAATATTCAGATTCTTGGACTGCTTTTTTAGGAGCAGGCGCACCATCTACAAAAGTAGTAGAACCTAGTCCTGCACTAGTTGATCCATATACTGGTTGTGCTTTAAGATTTGAATCAAAATTAATTACTGATGGGTTTTGTTTTGGTGTATATAAAGTACTTGAAGGATCATTTGAAACTCGATTTGTTTTTAAAATACCAGAATCACTTCCACGACGGGCGGCTTCATGAATAGAAACTTTTCTACCCACTATTTCATTTTGATCATCTACATTATATGTCCCAAATGCTAAATTCATTTGTTCATTCTTATCGATATTTCCACCCATTCCTTTAATAGAATTATTGGGGCCATCAATTGGGAAAGCCATCACGGGAGGAGCTTTGACATTCTTATTTCTATGGGGAGTACAGGCATCAAATGGACCATCATGATGGAAACCACCTCCGAAAAAGGCAGTAACATCCAATTTATCAATAGTATCCAAGTTTTTAGCCTTTACAGGTTCTGGTTGTTTCTTTTTAGATGGTGATTTCCCCTTTGAAGTGGATGATTGATGAGTACGGGATGGGGTATTACGTGAGTCCTTTCTTGAATGATGATGTGAACGATGATGACTTCTATCAGACTGTGAACGATGTGGTTTGGATGGACTTTCGAAGTTATTGTTGTTGTTAGTTGAAGTTTTTTCTCTCCTATATTCTCGTCTAGCTGCTTCTACACCTGAAGCTTCTTCATATGTTGGTGGTGGTGCCACGCTCTGAGGTGGTTTTGGTGGACGTGAGGGAGGCGTCTTGCTAGAGCTATTTCTTCTTGGTGCGACTGGAGGTTCGCGAATTGGCTTATTGCCATTCTGATCACTTATTTTGGAAGCAAATGGATTATTAGATTGCATTGTTACACTATTTAATAGTTAGTATATTGTTATCCCTTTGATTCGAATAGGCTCTGTTTTATCTATCTTTGATTATCCTGTGACTATGGTTGTAACAAAAAGAAGGGGGAAACTAGAACGAATATTTTTGCTAACATAAAAAAAAGCAACCCTGAGATGATTTGACCCTAAAATTTTTTGTATCAGTTGATTGTATGATTTTTTTCTTAGGTGTTCGTTTCCTATTTTTTTTGGGTTTGGATATTCGTTTGTTTTCGCTTACAAATTATTTTTTTTTGGTATCAATTTTAAGCGAAATGTTTGATATATTTGGCACCTAATAAACACAATTTGAATCTTTAGTCAGTAGCATTTCAACAAGAGGCTTAACGCAGTAGCCGTCTTGATTGATTAAATGCCGTGGACTATGTCTTTGAATCATCTTTTCGTGGGGGGTCCAACTGGCATGCGGAAAAAAAAGACATTCTATTGTTCTTTTCCTCGTCAGTGCCCCACTCTGGGCTCTTGACCAAAAATATCTCAAACCTCTACCTTTTTAATCAACTTATTGCACACCTTGTATTATCGTATTGTACTTGCAAAAATGGACCAACAAGCATATTATACAATACGCTAACTATTCCAAATAGTCCATTTTCTTTCTGTGTGCGCCAATAATTGACAGGACGGATAAAAGCTCCGAACTAAATTATGTTGGACTATGTTAAAGTATTATTCGTTTGTATTTCCCCCTCCCCTCCATTCCTCTCTTCAATTAAGATAAAACATGAACCTAAAACAATTTCGTTAGAACAATAAAAAAAATACATACCTTGCAGAATATTGAATACTTGTATCGCTATCTGCCCTTGTTGCCCGCGGCGGGAATTGCGGTGGACCTGTTATTGCATGAGAAACAGTTTTATATCCATTATTTTGACTTCTATATTCGCTTCCATCATCTTCTTCATCACTCGAAACATCTACTAATTGTTTATTCTTCCGTACCCAAGAATCAAAACTTGCTGATTGAGAAACATTTGATAATCTTGAAGGACTATACATTGGTCTTGGTGGACTATTGTTTGGTTCTTGTACTAATGGTTGTTGATAATCTAACTCAACTTGTGACCTGAATGGATTATTTGATGAAAGTCTTCGCAAGGAATCTGTTGACGAATATGTATGACTTGGTTGTTTATACATTGCTGTTGTTATATATAAAAATGTGGTAGTGGCTATGGACGGCGTGCGGGTGCGTGCGATTACTAATAAAGAATAAAAGGAATCAAATATACAAGCGTGGTTTAATTGACAGTAGGCTTTGTTATATTCCTTTCCTCGTGATTAGGGGGTTGTCTGAACACTTGATAGTTTACTCAATAAGATTGATTTGTTGTGAATAGTGGAATAAAATTTTGAATCTTTTCAATTAAAAACGTTCAACAAAAACACCACAAAAAAAAAAAAGAAAAAATCTCTTGAATTGTTGTTGTAAAAAACTTTCTTGGAAGATTTACTTTGCGGTGGTGGTGGTAGTAGTAGTACTGGTGATCTTTGGTATTTGCTTCTAATCAAATTGGTTTAAACACGCAGGTATATATATATATATCAATCTTATAATCTCTCCCTATTACTAGCGATTCTCTATTTGTTACTAAAGGGTTAAGGGGAATCTAAAAATAAAATAAAAAAAAGTTTATTAAAAAAAAGAATCACCAAAGAATTGATTTAATTTAATAAGAAAATTTAAAGAAAAACTTTTTTCTCGCACTCACTCTCACATACTATTAATTACTGAGTACGCACTAAAAAAAAGAGTTTACCGAAAATCCCAAAAAAAAATAATAAAATTAATTTAGAGGAAGGGAGGGGGTGTAGTTGTCAATTCGTGTAAATTGATTATATATGACAAATGTATTGCATGATTGGGAGTAATACTACATCTTGTAAAATAAGCATTAGATTACAATCTTACAAACTGTTTCAATTAGGGGGGAATTGCTTCCTCATAAATTCACTTATTGATATCTATTGCTATAGGGATGTTTGACAGGGTTATATACAGCTCACTTCAATTCTCTCCGATTTTGTGCTCTAATCATCAAGCACGCGAACTGATATTTTTTTTACTAGTCAGAGGCGAGGTAAATTGATGAAATATGGCAAACTCTTTTCAAATTCGTTTATTTAGGGTTAAAGCCCAAGGCAGGAACAAGGAGGCGGCATAATTTTCTAACATTAAAGAATTCACGAATTGACAAAGCCCTCACAAGCCAAAATTCTCAACACTATCCGACAACGAGAATACAGCATCAACTTATAAACAGGATAGGCTTATTGTGTGTATGATTCGTTTCGTACTATGTGTCAAATGTACACTATAATAAAAATTGACACGCGTCTAAAAAGCGTAAGAAAAATAATCTATTATTCCAAATTAGGAAATATGCCAGAATATGCATACAAAAAAATGAACTATAAAACAACACGCCCCCTCCCCCCCCATATTGTTTAAAAGAACAAGAGACATATTCTATGTTAATATAAGCCGTAGGAATACGAACTGACTGGTTCTTTTGTAAATTTTGGATTATTTGACATGGTTATAGGGAAAATTAGTGCGTTGTTTGACGTGTAAGGTGACTTAGGGTTGCGTCCTGTTTGTTTTTTTCTTGGCTGTTGGAAATGTCACAAGTTGTCTTGTGCCTTGCATCACAATAAGCAATCTAACAAAATTTCATACACCACACAAATGGCTAAGTATAATTGCTAGGCATACAGAGAGAGAGAGACAGGGAAAAAGTAAATTAAACCAAATCTTACTTTATAAAATACCTAAAAATAACATCTATGTAAAGTCTTAAACCTAGTAACCTTAAAAATCCAACCAAAATTACCTTTTCCTATTCCCTTTTTGTTGCAAAAAAAAAACCCTACCCACTAAAACAGACTCCATGTCCAATCATTTGGAACATCACCTATTCCAGACCCATTACTCAAATTTCTTTCATCCTCTCGACTTCCCAACCTGAATCTCATACAAGATTCTTTCTTAACATATGGATTCTCAACATAAACAAACAGTAATGTCTTTAATTCATCTCTTGTAGAATCCGAAAAATATTTCCAATCACCATTACCATTTCTTAATGATCGATTTATATCCTGGACTAAAACATTATAAAGCACACTACATTTTCGACAGATTTTGAATAATCGTTTAATTTCAGGTGGTTGCTTTGATCTTATATTTTCAAATATTGGAATGATGAATCTTGCATTTGAATCCAATAAGATTGCATTTGGATGATTGGTGGTTTCATCTTGTACTAAACAATCACTACAATATATCAAGCCACAAAATCGACAATGATGTCTTTTGTTGTTTGTATCGCATATTATTGACATTAATAACGTCAGCAAGGGTTTGAAACATGTTATGCAATTATTGGTCATACTGTTTGATTTCCAATGCGAATGAGTAGGTTCAATATCGAATCTGACTGGTGATATTGGTGCCGTGATTGTATATATTGTACTGTTGCAAGGAGAGTAGGAAGGTTTTAATTGTGGTACGGCTTCATTGGAATCATTATCATTGGTGAATGCTGGGCGTAATACTGCAGGTGTACATAATGGTTTCTTCAATTGATAAAGTTGATTCAAAGATGGAATGGCAGTATTATTATCATTTAATTTAGGAAAACTTGACTGATTTCTAATACGAGGTTTTGGTGCTGGATGATTTACGGAACTCATCATTTCATTGTTGAACATATCCCGTAATTTATCTCTTTCAACCTTACGTTCATAGATATAATTATTAGTGGTATATTCTTCTAGCAATTTATCATCATCACTATTTTGCCTTTTTAACGGAGCCTCTTGTCTTCCCGGGTTTGAAAATCTCCTTAAGGGTTTGGATAAATCAAATGTTGCTGGTTTATATTTCACATTCTGTGATTCTACTTCAACAAGCACTTTATTATTTGATTCTAGGATAGGTCGATTATTAGATTCTTGTAAACTTTTTCTATATGTATAATATGTATGACTCATTTGAGGAAATCGGATTTGTTCATTATAATCAAAATCAGGATTTTTAAGACTCTTACTTAATGAATTCTTATTATTTTGATTCTCATTACTTTGGATTGACCCAAAGTATGACTCTATTCCAGATAGGGATGATACTCTTGTTTTTTGAGGAAAATCAATAGGTCTTTTTGCAAATGAAAATGGTGGTAGTGTATTATTATTTGTTTCTTTCAAAGTTTCATTAGTTCCGTTACCCAACATAGTAGTGACAGGTGATGTTAAAGGTGTTGTATGTGCAGTTGAATGAGAAGTACCTGTAGATGTATTAGCGGTGGTTGTCATTGTGGTATTTGCATTGGTATTCTTTTCATCTGCATTATGCATTAATGAACTGGTGATAGTTGCTTGAAAGGGTGAATGATGGATTGATTTTGTAGCTGTATCTGCCATTATTCCTGAGCTATGACCTATTTGTGGGTTATGGTATTCCTGTTGTTGAGGAGGCATACAGCTAACATCTGTACGTGGGTTGTTGATATTTGACATCGTGTTCTTACACTTGCTTGTGATTGTTTAAGTTTTTCCGTTGTTGTTCCTGAAATGACTAATTAAAGATCTGCAAAAAAATATGGTATCCAAGGGGTGTGTTACTGTAATTTAAGTCAATGTGCCTCGTGTGTCAAAGTAAGGAATTTATATCGTACTACGTTCAATCTTAAAACAAAGTTTCAACCTTAAAATACTTTTAAATCAAAAAGGTGTAAGAATATATTTATTTATATTAACAATAAGATTTTTAATTTATACGTTTATGGGATAAGGGATAGAAGAAAAAATTCTTATTCAGATGTTATTTTTTTTTTCTTGATTTAAAATTTTAAATTCTTAGTATAAATTGGGATTTCATTTGGGGATATAAATATAAACTTTAATAGCTAGTTGTACAAAAAAATAAACAATCGGCTACGGAAAACTATTGCTGCGTACCATTTGCTAATTTATCCGTTATTGTTTTTTTAGTCCTCATGGCATGGCGTAGATAACAAAACAATATAATTACATTAATTTGCTATCAATTTATTGACTACCATCTTGTCAAAAAAAACAAAGTGCTTGCTTCCATTGACTGCAAATAAAATAAAAGGCTAATAAATTATTAATGTAAGATAAGAAATCGTGCATAATATGCAGTACTAGTCAGATTATTNGTCAAAAAAAAAAGTGCTTGCTTCCATTGACTGCAAATAAAATAAAAGGCTAATAAATTATTAATGTAAGATAAGAAATCGTGCATAATATGCAGTACTAGTCAGATTATTTTTTTTTTATTTTATTTTAGTTTTTTTTTCTTATGACTAAAGTTACAAAGGATTAAGAATGATTGGTTCTCAGTTGTTCCGATTTGAATCATATACCAAAAAATCCATTCTTCAATAATTAAATTAATACGTCCATTGTTCAATACACTTAGGTACTGTAAAAATACAAAGGCTTATGATTCATTTTATCACAGGCTAGACTTTCAAAAACATATTGAATTACGATTCTATATAAACTCAGAAAGATCTTTTGATAAAATCTTGTCGCAAATAATTTCTTTGTCAAGTTAAATAAATTTCATGTTTATTACTTTCAAGAATGAAAGTGCTATACATGCAATTTACGATTAACCAGTGCCAAGTTTAAGGACACGAAAATTTACCCTTGAAAATGATTCCCAACATGAACATATTTCCGCGGTTTGCCGGGGGTTGATGTCCGTTTCCGAGGCTTTGTTTGTCCTTCCAATATCGTCCAGCAATATCCGCATTATACAATCAAATCACGGAACTGAATATTGACCAGCTTTTGAGAAGGCAATGTCTGATAACAAGCGATATCTCGTTGATGAAGTAGACTATTGTGTACAATTCTACAAATAGCAAGGGTGTTTGAGGTGATGTGCTGTAATGAGTTGGAAGTCATACCCCAGATCGAACCAAAACATTTAGCACCAGTTGCCTTTTAGCGAGTCCTCAACAATAACTGGAGGTGTTTTCTAGAAAAATGCTAAACGAATATGTTCGCTGTACCATTTAGCTCAACAGAATACCCACTACTCAGCAAAAAGATGAACATCATGGTCATTCCCTAAATGTTTACACAAGGTCCACGCAGGTGAACATGAGAGAGTGTTCGCATTCATAACAATTTCTCCACAATATCTGCAATATTGTCTTTTTTGAACGTGTCCTTCATTTTTGAGAAATTCCACGTAATGTTGCCAAGAGATAATCGACGAATTACACAAAGTGCTTTCACTAGAAAGAACGATCCCTTCTATTCTATTTCACGATTATAAAATTATAATATATTAAATTAACTAGTAAATATGAAATTTTAAAAAATGGTAACAACTTCCAAAATACAAAACAACAAATTAATATAGATGAACTAAATTCAAAAACCAATCCTCCACTTTCTAAGCATCATTGAATCATCACTCGTCTTTCTTCTTATTCAACTTCTCTAATCCTTTAATACAACATATAATGCATGTAAAATGGCTGGGAACCAGAAGAAAATACAACAAATTAAGTTAATCCATAAAGGGGTGGTAGCACCACATTTCATAAACACAGCTAAAGGTGGTAAGAAAAGGGCTATAATGACAGCAACAATTGTTTCAGAATTCATGATTGTATAAGTTTGATCTCTTTTTATTAAATATCAATTGATGGGGGTGGATTTTAAATTGTATTTATAATAGAAAACAGGAAAAGACGGGAAGAGAATGTGTAATGTATTTATTTTATTTTTTTTCTTCCCGTTACTTTTTTAATATTTGGGCTGACCAATTTTTTCGCTTTAGAGTTTTTCGGCCCAAAGCCCTGTACAATGCCAACAATTTGCAATTTCCCTAGACAATGAGTATTATTATATAGGGGAATTCTTGATCCCAGGGTTTAAAAACATTGGACACGCGGTCGATATTGAATCTTTTTATATATCTGAGATTCAAGCAACCAAATTGCAAACCAATTTCAGAAACCTGCTGGTTCCAGCATGGATACCTCGGTAAAAGTTGTTTTTCGGCCTAATTTGCACCAGTTGCTTAATCTCGGAAATACGGTTTGTGGATCTTGAAGAAAAGCCTTTAAAAAATACTTCAACTTCCCTGAAGGCTCGAGTTTCAAACTTTAGTTCTTCAACGGTATTAGCGTTTTCCACATATCCATGCTGTCACTCTCGAAGAAATGATCCGTTACCTAATTTCGCGGGAATTATCGGCGGGATGACCTACTGAAAATTTCAGATTACCTGTGGTTTCATGCATTGAATCTGTTGCAATTCCCATTGTGGATATGTCTGAGATGTGCACTCTGTTAGATCAAGGTGCAGTATCACAGAAATTCCATGTGGAACCTACTCTCGATTCTTCTTCTTTGGAAGGGAGGTCTTGAATTTGGAAGTTCACCGCATTTTTAAAGCTGTTTCTTGATGGATCAGACATTTCTTGATCATTTTAGGTGATCTTGTCCCTACTCTTTGGTATGGTTGTGGTACAATGTAAGTTTATGATTTCCATTGTTAATTCTGGGATTAGTTGACCAATTAATTTCACGGCAGATCTCTCCACATGTAGAATTTGAATGATTCCCAAGAATGAATCTATTTATAAAGGATATTCAACGTTTGTATGATTGATCTTTATTCAAGTAAGAAAGATTTCTTACTTCGGGGATTGAGCTCGATTATCTGTAATGAGAAGCTCACATTCGAATAGAGCAGAGCCATCAATAGATTTTTACAGGCAAACAAATCAATTTTAGGAAAGTCCGAAGGCAAGTTGGTGCAAGAGAAGCCCAGGAGTTTGACCGAACAACACAACCAGCATTGAAGCTGCACCATATGAGGCGCAGTCACACAGTGTTGAATTCGATGGATTTAACTGAGTTGTCATTGAGACCACTTCTTCTTTATCGATAAGATACTGAAGAAAGCTACCTTTTAGAATATTATCTGATTTTTGAGAGAATCAATCATTCAAGCAAGAATCAACCACAGCAGTCCCCGACAGCATAGTGTATTAGTACAAAGAGAGTTAGGTACTTGCACTGTCTTGCAAGTGGTAGCGGTCCATATCTCACGAACTCTTGCGCCGTTAGTAGGTTAGCTAGAATGTGTGACATATTTCTATCCATTTTAGCTAATGCGAGTTGTTGGACTAGAAACGTTAATCAGAAATAAAGCATAATCAACCGAGGTTAAGTAGAAAGATCAAGTTTAAGAATTTCTCAAAGAATCTAGATCAGAGGTAAACTATCGCACTCCACTTGTGGACCGTTGTTAACCCGTCGTCTGGTAGGGGTTTTTCTCAGACATAATTCCCGAAGCTTGAATTTACTAACTTAACTTTGGTCGATCACACGTGCTTCCTAATTAACTATACGAGCACTTCTAGTCCAATTTGAAGAAATAAATTTTAACAATCCAAATAAAACTCAATCTCGACAAGAAAAAATTTTTTCCAACGCTTTCTAAAGCCCTGAAAATATACGATTTTTGACCAAATTCAAATTGCAAATCATTCCTCTGATTTACCTATTCATTCAACAGGGTCAAAAAGTAAAAAAATATCTCCCGGGGGTGAGTCGAACACCCGATCTCAAGATTACTTTGAGGTACTCATTACAGTCTCGCGCTTTAAACCAACTAAGCTACCAGGAGTAATTAGATGGTGAAAAAATTTTCAGAGTTTTTGTTGTTATGTTGATTTTGTGGATCATCTCCGGTGAGATTTCCTATTTTGGATAAATTTCCGGTTTCCACGTGACCTGTCAGATTGATTTACCAAGATGCAAAAAAAAAACCACTTTGAAACTAAATTCCAATAAATGAAAAATAAATGTTACTTAATAACCCCATTTTCTAGGGAATACGGAATTTGTGTATGTCTTAGTGGTGTTGGTTATTGTTTTTGGTGGTTCTTTTATTGAAAACTACTCTTTTAGAATATCTTCAAAAAATTTGCCAGATTTCTATGAGAATAGGGACCCAATTCTACATGTAATATACTGTATTTTATTAAGTCACATAGTCTCATTTTATATGTACCTATAAAAGAACTAAATCATAACCTTTTCCATCAAGAATTAAAGAGGAGGTTATTATCAATAGAAACACTTCTTGCGTTGGCTTCTTAATTTGCATTCCAATTCAAGCCTTAAAAACAAAAAGGCTGCAAAAAAAAGGGCAAAAGTATTGTTTCGAACGAAAGGATACAGATCCAGACTGTGATTAGTCTTCCCAAGTCGATGTCAATTTTAGATACTCCAGAATGAAGTTCTGATTCAATGAATGAAATTTAGGAGTTTTCTAAACAAGTTTCAATATAGATATATGAATCCTTCATCCAACATTTTGATTATGGAAATTGTTTGGTCTGCGTATTCATACAGGTTTAGATATGTCTTCATTAGAATATCCTCTTTGAAAGTTTAAGAACTCTCTTATAGCGACTAGTCTATCTAATGATAGTTGCGGGCATTCTATGCGAATATCATTTACATGGCAATTATCAGAGACACAGCAATCCAGTTCCGAAGAGTCTATTTGCCCTGAAACGATTATAAGAAGTAGTCTCCGTCCATATCTAGTCAGAATATACAATATAATATTATCAATGCTCAACTAATGATTACAGAGAAATAAAAACATATTTCCAGGGGCAAAAATAATAAAATTGCAATTTAATTTTTGCAAAATTATTATTCGCAGCCAGTTACACTCTCAATTACATTTTTCTCGGCCAAAGGAGTTCGGAGAACGAGAAAGTAGTAAATGCGTTTAAATAATTCCGCGAATTTTGAGCACAGGCTCTTAAGCTACATAGCGAACTCCAGTTTTTATTGCTTAAGCACTCCCGTTCTCGATTGAGCATGTGAAGGCTTAAGTGTTTATCGATTATCCATGGAGATAAACCAACGACCCCACGAACGAATATTGATTAGAAAATATCAATAATTAATATTGTAACAGAGTGCCCTGGAACCCCTTCATACATTCCAGAGTTCTGGAAGAATATCATTTAGCAAGTTTACATTTAGATTATTGTAATTAGAGATCCGAGGAAGTTAAGTAATTCGTTTGTTGCAAGAACCCAGAAATTCAGAAAATGGTACGATTGTACTGAAAAATGGAGTTGAAAAAGTGGATCTTAAATTTTCAGCGGTTTCTTGGTTCGGTTATTGTCGGTGTATATATTAATTTTCCATGGATAATAAAAAACTTAAATTAACCATAAGTTTTTTTTTTTCATTCCTGTACCCCACAAAAAGTTTCAACCCCGTGGAAAAACTATTACCGTCCCTCTACTGAACCAACAAATATGGTTCCATACAGCATCTTATAACATACTAATGGAGAAGATAAAGAGATAGAAAGAGAGAGACAGAGCGAGAGAGAGGGTCCTTCTAACAATAGGAAGATTTATAGAATTATATAAGTAAAATTGGGTTCCCTTTGCGGAATAATTTTTATGGAAAAACCAAATCAACCGAAAAATTCCGACCCCAGCAAATATGAGGGGTTGCCTAAAAAAAGAATAGCCCCTCGTACTAACTCCACTCCTCCTCTTAAATTAATACCAGCAATTAAATAATTTAAAATTTATCTATAAATGAATAATGAAATAATCTTTCTTTCTTCAAATTCAACTTTTACTTTTACTCTCCTTTTTTTTTGATTAAGGATTCTTATTGAAACTAGCTTTAGATCATTTAAATTATCCAAACTATCACATAATGGCACCACCTCCAAATATCGCTCTTTTACAAAAACCTCACAAGACAGACCCATCGAAAGAGCCCAAGATGGTTGCTGATGTCGTTTCATCCCAACCACCTCCAGATCCAGCTGCTGCAATTGCCGAAGAAAGATCTCGTACCAATTGGGACCTTAAGGAAATGCATGAATTTTTAGAAGGTGGAGAAACTAAATCAAATTTGATTTTACGTCTTTATCAATCCATTGAACGTGATCCAATTTTACAAACTCGTCCTGAACAATTTGATTACAATCAAGAAGAAGAACGTGTTTTGGTTACCAGAAGAATTAATCAAATGACAAAATACCTCGAAACTGAACCATATGCTAGATTTAGAAGAAGATTACAATTGATGACAATTATTGATCCTTCTTTAGGTATTAGAATGTTGGTCAATTTAGGTTTGTTCTTGAATTGTATCAAAGGTAATGGTACCGACAAGCAATTCAATTATTGGATTAATTCTAAGGAAGGTGGTATTGCCAAGACCTTGTATGGTTGTTTTGGTATGACTGAATTAGGTCACGGTTCAAATGTTGCTGGATGTGAAACTACTGCCACTTTTGACCCAGAAACTGATTCCTTCATTATTGATACTCCTCATATTGGTGCTACTAAGTGGTGGATTGGTGGTGCTGCATATTCAGCAACTCATACTGTCTGTTATGCTAGATTGATTGTTAAGGATGTCGATTATGGTGTCAAGACTTTTATTGTTCCATTAAGAGACTCTCAACATAACTTGTTACCAGGTATTGCCATTGGTGATATTGGTGCTAAATTGGGTAGACAAGGTGTTGATAATGGTTGGATTCAATTCACTGAAGTCAGAATTCCACGTTTCTTTATGTTACAAAGATGGTGTAAGGTTGATAAACAAGGTAATGTGACCACTCCTCCATTGGAACAATTATCTTATATTTCACTTTTAGATGGTAGAGTTGGAATGGCTGCTGATTCTTATAGAATTGGTGCCAGATTTACTACTATTGCCTTGAGATATGCCATTGGTAGAAGACAATTTAAACAAGAAGGTGCAAAGGAAGAATCGAAATTATTAGATTATACCTTACATCAAAGAAGATTGTTACCTTATTTGGCTTTAACTTATGCTGCTGCTGTAGGTACTGACAGATTGGAACATCAACATGAAGATCTTTTAGCCGACATGGATAATGCACTTGCCAAGAAGGATAAATTATTATTGAAGAAGACTCTTCGTGATACCAAAGCCATGTTTGTTGATTCTGGTTCTTTGAAATCTACTTTGACTTGGTTGGCTGCTGATTTGATTAATGAATGTAGACAATCTTGTGGTGGTCATGGCTATTCTTCTTATAATGCTTTCGGTAAGACTTATGGAGATTGGGTTGTTCAATGTACTTGGGAAGGAGACAATAATGTCTTGGGTATGTCTGCTGGTAAGACTATTATCAAGACTGTTCAACAAGTCTTAATGGGTAAGAAGGTCAAGGATTCTACGTTGGAATTCCTTAATGATGCACCAACTTATCAAAAGGCCAAGAAACCAGTTCTTAGAAATGCTGCTCATGTTGATGATATCGACCGTGTTTTGAAGGCTATTGCTTCACTTATTTGTAAGACGGCTAGTGATTTGATTCCTATTTCTTATCAATCTTGGGATTCTATTGGTCCTCAAAGAGTTATCTTGTCTAAATTGAGATGTCATTACTATTTGCTTGAAACTTTCAGAGACAGATTAGAACAACAAGTTGGTGCTAATTCTAAAATGAGACCTCAATTGGAAGCAATTGGTAGATTGTATTATGTTACTCAAATTTTGGGTGCTTTTGTTGACGAATTCTTGAAATATGGTGTCATTACTCCTGAAGTTGCTAAGCACATCACTGTTGAATACCCACAAGTTTTGTGTCAACAAATTAGACCATTTGCTGTTGGTTTAACTGATTCATTCCAACAACCTGATAATATCATCAATTCATTGATTGGTAAGTATGATGGTAATATTTACAGCAATTACTTGAATACAGTCAAGGATATCAATTTCTCTCCAGCTAATGTTAAGGCTCCATACTCTGAAGCTTTGGAAGACATGTTGAATAGAGCTTCAATTGAAGAAAGAGAAAGATTTGAAAGATCAGCTAAAGCTGCTTCTATATTATCTAAATAAGTTAGTTTGGTTTTTATTTATATATATTATCTAAATATGAACTTTTAAGTATTAGATCGTACAAAGTCACACTGTAGTAGTCAATTACTATAAACTATTTCTTATGCCTAATACAAAGTAATTCAAAACACTTAATAACATCAAACCAACAATTCTAATAAATCTATCCAACACCGTCTTGTGTTGCAAAAAGGGGTACGTGAATTGAGTAACACCATCATGTCCATGTACATACATGATATATTCAAGATATCCCCAATATCCCAATAAGACCCCGACGGTATACCCAATCGATTTATTGGCACTTATTCTCTCATATGAATCAAAAACAATCAAATACAAATATGGAATCAAATGAATTCTCAAATCCAACCAAACATTTCTCTCAAATGATTCAGTATTTAACGAATTGGGGAACATTACCCTCATGGCCCAATAAGATACAGTAACATTGAATTCTAAATTACATGTGATATTATAGATTGTTTTCAAATGTCGATTGGTGGGGAATAGTTGGCTGAGGGTGATGTATATGATTGTGAATAAGAGTGAGACGGTAGTTAGGAATTGTAATTGACCTCCTTTTTCTAGATGGGGAGGTAACGGGAGTTTGATACAGTCGTAGAAGCCACTTAGACATAGTCCTAGTGCGATTAGGCTGATCAATCCTTGACGTGGCATTGGTTATGGATAAAGAGAGAGAAAAGCTAGAGAGGTTTGTTGATTTGTTTTTCATCAATTCAACTTTGTACGGGATAGGACGGGCTGCAAAAAATTATCCGTGCCAATTTAAAACGAGAGTAAAATCTATTAGACCGAGGATTGGGTCCAGCTACAAATCAATTAACTTAACTACGAAGAGATGATAATATGAAATAATAATAATAATTTTAACTCGTTAAATAAACACATATAAATATAAAATCATAATAAGCTAACAATAAAACAAAGGGAATCTACGGTTTTATAATTCAAAGACACACTCTCTCTTAACGAGATAAGATTTCACCAGTTTCAATAGTCTTTTCATATCTTTCTCTGACTTCAAGAGAAGGTCTATTCAACATATCCTTTAATGCTTGAGTGTATGGAGCTTGAGTATTAGATGGTTTATTTAAAGTCTTGACAGTTTCAAAGTAGTTTTCATAAATATCACCATCATGCTTACCAATAGCAGAATTAACCATCATATCAGATAATTGGAATGAATCAGTTAATGCAACAACATCTGGTCTAACTTCAGCACATAATTTTGGAATTTGAGTAGAGGTTAATGCTGCCATGAAAGCTGGAGATGCAACACCAAAAGTTAAGAAAGTACCGGCAAATCTTTCCAAAACTAAAGAAGCACTGTATAATTTACCTAATCTAGCCAAGAATGGAACTAAATCCTTTTGATCGAAATCTTTAATTCTGGTAACATATTCTTTTAATAAGAAATGGTTAGCATTCAATTTAGATAAAGTAACCAATTCACCACCAGTGTAATCCAAAGTCTTTTGTCTGGCTTGCTTGGCAGCATTAGCACCCAATCTAATAATGGCAACTTCAATAGCCTTGACAATCTTGTCAAAGTCGTTAACATCATTAACATTATCCAAGATAACTTCAGATGAACCAGCACCTGTGGTGTAGTTGTTAACTTCATTCAAATAACTAGAAGGACCCTTGACAAGTTTACCTTCATCTTGAATAGCAATAATGTTCTTAACAATTGGCTTACCAACATTAAGAGATAAGACATTGTTATCACCTTCCCAAGTACACATAACAACCCAATCGTTGTAAGCTCTACCGAAACCACTGTAAGCAGAGTAACCGTGACCACCACAAGCTTGTCTACATTGGTCAATAGCTTCAGCAGCTAACCAAGTACAAGTAGCCTTCAAGGAACTAGAATCAATAAATAAGGACTTCATGGCAGTAATAGACTTCATAATAGCACCGGTGTTGTTGCTTTCAACAGCATCATCCAAATCAGCAAGAACGGTGTCAATAATTTGTTCAACTCTGTAAGCACCGGCAGAGATAACATAAGCAGCAGCCAAGTAAGGTAATAATCTCTTTTGATGTAATGGATAATCTAATAATTGAGTTTCAAGAGCATTTTCATCTTCTTTATCAACATTATCACCCTTGAATTGTCTTCTACCAATAGCATATCTTAACGCAATAGTTGAAACTCTAGAAATCATTCTGAAAGAATCACAAACCATCAGAACTCTACCACCCAATAAAGCAGAATAAGATAATTGTTCCAATGGTGGTAAAGTGACATTACCTTCTCTGTCAACCTTACAGAACTTTTGCAACATAAAGAATCTTGGAATTCTAACATTAGAGAATTGAATCCAACCATTATCAATACCATCTCTACCCATCTTAGCACCGATATCACCGACGGAAACACCTGGCATAATATCGTGATTAGAATCTCTTAATGGGACGACAAAAGTCTTGACACCATAATCCTTACCGTCAACAACTAATCTTGCATAAACAGAACAATGGGTAGCAGAATGAGCAGCACCACCAATCCACCATTTAGTAGCACCAATGTGTGGGGTATTGATAACAAATTCGTCAGTGTCTCTATCAAAAGTAGCAGTAGTTTCAACACCACCGACATTAGAACCATGGGCTAATTCAGTCATACCAAAACAACCATAGATACCTTTAATATGAGCAGTTTCTTTATCTAAAGCCCAATATTTCAATTGTTCATAAGTACCATTACCTCTAAGACAAGAGATAAATAAACCTAAATTAACACCAATTCTGGTATTTACTTGTGGATCAAAAAGACCAACAATAGATAATCTCTTGTGAAAGGTATCAAGTGAATCATTTTCTAAATATCTAGACATTCTGTTAATTTTAGCAGCAGTTAACTCTCTTTGCTGTTCCTTAGTTAAATCATAATAAGAACAATCAGTAAATAAAACTGGGTCTCTTTCCATTTGTTGAATTAAAGTCTTGAATAATTCAGATCTTTCTTGATTACCTTCAATAAAATAATTCATCTTTTCTGGATTAAATTTAGAAGCAGCTCTTTCAGTTTGAATAAGACCTCTTGGGTCTGGACCTTTGCTTAAGCTGACGTTTTTAGTTGTGAAAGCCATTGTTGTTGTTGTTGTACGTGTCTATAGTTGAAAAGTTAAAAAGGAAGCCAACTGTAGTTGTAATATAAGAAAGCAAGAGAAATATAAGAAAAAGTTGAAGTTTAAATTTTTAGGGAATCTCAAGTAATATTTATAATGAATATTTTATTTTTTATTTTAGCACGGAAAAAAAAAATTATCACAGGTACAAATTAGTGGAGGGGGAAGTTTAGAGAGCTTACTCCACAAATTGATTTACCAAGGATAATCTAAAATCACAAGTAATTTTGACAGCTATTTATTTTTAAGAATGATAATCATCCTAAGCTAACGTATAGAATGTATAGCACTCTTCTCTAGTTTATTCACAGGGAGTTTCATATTCCAACTAGTGCACTGTATTACGTCTAGTCTAAGTGGGCCCAGTAGGTGGGGAATGGGGGCCGGAGTCCATTCTGCGGATTAAAATCCACCGCGAAAAAAAATTCTATGATACAACGCAGCCCACTGGAACAGCCAGATATTCTCGGCCCTGCCAGCCTTCTTAAAATAAGTAAAGTTAAAACATCTTATGTCTTAGTAAGAGGCAATATTATTCTACAAGCTTATAAGATCATGGGGTTGTAAGATCATGTAAGTGATCCCTTTACTAATGTAAACTTATGAGACATAACATAACAATCTGATGGTTAATCTAGAATTGATGCACTGTAACTTGATTCGTGATCATGCCGAGGTTAATCAATTTTAATCTTTTTTTTTCTTTCGCACGGGTTTCTTTTTTGTTCGGTTTCCCGAGGAAAACAAAATCTAATTTTTTGGTAGCGGAAAAATTCATTTTTTTTGGAAAATTAAAATTGATTGCAAAAAGTTATTCTTACTCGGGATCAAATAGTTGCATTATTACTGGAGTTAATGCAGAGAGAGGACACAATTTCGATTAGCAGCAAAGATCCTTGCGTTTGTGTGTGTGCGTATGAACAAACATTGTACAAAACTACAATGAGCTGATGTCGGGATTTAAAATAGAACATACAGGAGAGGTCAGAGATACTCATTGATCAACTATTAGGGTTGAAAAAATTGGCAATGCCATCACCACAGAGAACAAATTTACCATAAGCTTCTATATAAACCAATTCTCATACTAAATGGCCTGATTTACTTCTCCAGGGAGACATGATCCAGAGGAAGCATAAATATTCTTTGCACCACTTACCCCAAAAACCGATACTAACTCAAGTGTAAATATTTACCGAACACCGAGAGTTTACTTGTAGATATTTCTTAGTTAATTATTACCCTTTGAATTGTTCCCCAGATTGAAAACCTTAAAATCGCCTGATTTTAAATTATCCATTAAAACTACCGTTGATATCCGCGCATGTATTTTTTCTACCCCACAGAATTTTCAAATTTTCAGACACCCACTCCGTTCTAGAAATGAATTTGCATAGCTCGGGAATTTAAGCAAAAATCTTTCTTAGATTAACAACCATGACATGATCTAAACGATTGTACATATGATAATATCTTTAGACGGGTGCTTCGGAGTTTACTTATCTCCTGAACTGATGTTGGAATTGCGTCTAGAGTATATCTCAAATTTTCTTTCCATGTGATAAATCTATTTCCTAATTGGGGAATCATTGCGCGGGCTACAATCCGATATTAATTAGATTTTTTTTGCAACCTCCAACCCATGCCATGAAATTGTACTGGCATGACCTGATCCTCGAGACGTCATTCATATCTGATGTTAATACACAATCACATGTACTCAAAAGAAAAGAATAGAAGCCGTCTTTAGAGTTAAGGGGTTTTAAAGCTTTGGAGCTCAGTTCACATGAAATATGAAGAATAATAGATGGGGAGAAATAACAATAGAAGAGCAAGGACAGTTATCAGATGATATTTGAAAGAATACATTTGTTGGGGATGTGAAATGATCCCATGACAAACAGAGCTACGTAGGGCTCTAAGATTGACACACAATGAGGGTCATTAAGAAGGTCCAATTCAATCGATCAGATATCCGTTTGACAGCAAATCTCAACAAATGGAACTAGCGACAAATCTAGATCTAAGATACCAACAAGCTAGTTATAGTTGTATACACCGTCACTGAGACAATGAATCGTAATACTGTATGCAGTTGAAAGTCTCATTGACTGAGCTACAATCTTACTCTGAGAGCACATAAATGAGACAATGATTCCAAAAGAGAGACGACGACGAAACCACAGCGGGTACTATACACACATAAGTACTTGCAACCATCGAACTATAATATAATATATTATTATTCGTAACTATATATACAAGTAAGCTATCTTGAAATAAAAAATATTCCGTCTATATTCTCACAAATGATATCCTAATAAAGCCAACCTGGTGCTCTTATCTAAGCCCATAGTATTATCCTCGATAATCATTATAAACCTATTCTTTTTGAACCCAGTTTTATACTTATAATTGTGGGACTAACATATCCATCAAAGATGATTGGATAAAGGCAATACCAAGACCGAATAAAACTACTTGAGTACCGACAATAAATTGTGGGGTTTTTCTGAACTTGGCGAAAGCTGATTCTTCCTTTGATGGAGCTTGACCTGGGAATCTACCTGACATTGTTATTATATTTATATTCTTTATGGGATGAGATACAGTGTGGTTGCTCTTTGGATAACGTTTTGTTGAAATTCTGTGGTGAAGAAAATTTTTTTTCGTGCAAAATTCAATGTAGTCACGTGAGCAGATTTCGTCCCAAGATGAGATCGTGTAATCAAATTCAAGTTTCAAAAATTTTTAAAATACCACCTGAGTCTAGAAACAGATATATCGAAAGTAAGATGGAATCCGTTGAAGTGGAATTAGGAGTTACTCCAGAAACTACCTATTCAGTTGCTGGTAAGCAAATTAAATTCAATTCTGAAGCTGACATAGAACCATACATCAAAGAACTTACTGCCCGTGAAAATGTCACCAAGATTGATTTCTCAGGAAATACTATTGGAATTGATGCATCCAAAGCATTAAGTGAAGCCATATTGAAACATAAAGATACAATTATTGCTGTCGATTTTTCTGATTTATATACTGGAAGATTAAATACTGAAATTCCAAAATCTTTGGAATATTTATTACCAGCCTTATTACAATTTCCAAATTTGAAAGTTGTGAATTTGAGTGATAATGCATTTGGATTACAAACTATTGATCCTATAGAAGATTATTTAACCAAAGCTATTTCAATCGAACACTTAATCTTATCAAACAATGGGATGGGACCTTTTGCTGGGTCTAGAATTGGTGCATCGTTGTTCAAATTATCCAGATCTAAAGAAGTCGCAGGAAAACCATCATTGAAGACATTTGTATGTGGTAGAAATAGATTAGAAAATGGCTCTGTTAATCATTTATGTGTTGGTTTAAGAAATCATGAAGATTTAGAAGTTGTTAGATTATATCAAAATGGTATTAGACCAGCTGGGATTTCTAAATTAATTGAAAAGGGGTTATCACATAATAAGAGATTGAGAGTCTTGGATTTACAAGATAATACAATCACCACTAAAGGTGCTATTAAATTAGCTGAAACTTTAGCTCATTGGGATGAATTGGTTGAATTGAATCTTAATGATTCATTATTGAAAAACAAAGGATCTTTGAAAATTGTAGAAGCTTTACACACTGGTGATGAAAAGAAGAAACTCTTGACTTTGAAATTACAATATAATGAATTGGAAGTTGATAGTTTAAGATTATTAGCTGATGCAATTGCATCAAAATTACCAAATTTGAAATTCTTAGAATTGAATGGGAATAGATTTGAAGAAGATTCTGAACATATTGAAAAGATTAATGAATTATTCGAAGAAAGAGGATTTGGTGAATTAGATGAATTAGATGAATTGGAAGAAATTGATAGTGATGAAGAAGAAGATGAAGAAGATGAAGAGGAAGAAGATACTTTGGAAGAAGATCTTGACTTGGAAGAACTTGAACTTGAGTTAGCTGGATTAGCTGTACAAGATAAAGATGCTACCGTTGATGAACTTACTGCTGGATTATCTAAAGCTCATATTAGTTAGATGTTTATAAGTTTTCCCTTTTAAATAGATGTAATAATTTAACCTCTTTTTTTCAGTTCGCTTTGGTTGTAAAAAATATGAACCCTTTTTTTCTGAACGGACGTTGGCAACATCGTTTAAATCACGTCACCTCTTCAAATACCATAAGGTAAATGTCCAGTCTATATAAACTATCAATCAAAGGTATACGTGCCTTTGAACCAGAAACAGAAGAGACAATTCAATTTGGATTTCCTTTAACGTTAATATGTGGACAGAATGGTTGTGGGAAAACCACCGTGATTGAATGTTTGAAATATGCGACCACTGGAGATCTACCTCCAAATTCCAAAGGTGGCGCATTCGTACATGACCCTAGTCTTTCTGGAAGATCAACAGTAACTGGTCAGATCAAATTGGCTTTCCGAAATGTGAATGGTAAATCTATGATAACTACGAGAAGTGTCCAACTTAGTAAAAAACAAGGTAGAGGAGGTGCCGCGTCACTTACTTTCAAGACATTAGAAGGTCAATTAGCATTAATTGATAAAGGAGAGAAAGTCAGTATCTCTACTAAGAATGCTGAATTGGATGGACAAACTCCGATTTATTTGGGTGCATCAAGGGCAATTTTGGATTATGTTATATTTTGTCATCAAGATGAAAGTCTTTGGCCAATGAGTGAAGCTTCGTTGTTGAAGAAACGTTTTGATGATATATTCGAAGCATCTAAGTTTACTAAAGTTTTGGATAATTTGAAATCGATCAAAAAGGAAATGGCAACTGATATTAAATTGATTGAACAAAGTGTGAGACATTTAAAGATTGATAAGGATAGAGCACAAAAGGTTCAAGATAAATTAAAAGCCATGAATGAGTCAGTAGATCGGTTTAATGAAGAAATCCTTGACCTTAATATCAAAATAGAAAAAAAGGAAAAGGAAGCAGATAATTTATTTGCCTCAAATCAGGAGTTTCAAAGAACATTGAGTGATTATGAGAATTTAGTAATCAAAAGAAAATCATTAGAAGAACAGATAGAAAGGATGAAATCAAACTTGACTATTTTATCAGATTCTGATGAAGAACTAATGCACAAACAACAGAATTTCTCAAATATAACTGCTGAGAAGAAAGACAAGATCGAAGAATTGCAAATGGAACAAGATGAATTAAATGAAGAATTGAAATCTAAGACAAATGAATATAATGAATTGATTAGAATTGACGGGTCCTTGAAGTCTAAAAAAGCACAATATGATAAAAATTTAGGAGAGATTTCAACAATTATCCAGAATAATTCCACCGCATTCGACGTTCAGTTATCAGATGATATATCCAGCAATATCACTACATTCAAAAAGGCAATTGAGAGAAAACATAAGAAAGTACTTGGCGACCAAAAGAAATTATTAACCGAGAATAAATCAAAAGAATCCGAAAAACAGTCACTCGTCCAAGAGATGTTAAACTCGTTATCAAGAGAAGAACAACATCGAGAATATATTTCTAATGATTTAACGGCGGCGAATTTGAAACTCAATTCATTAAGAAGACAATTAGAATCTCGTGATAATGATGAAAGTGAACTAGATTCAAAGAAACTTGAACTTGAAACCACTAGCAAAAAGCTAGATGAAAAGAAGAACCTGAACGAGATTAAAGATCTTGATTTGAAGATAGATGAGGGAAATTATGAGATATCAAAATTAGAATTTGAATTAGATGAATTAGCCAAAAAGCTTTCAATGAGTAATAAGCAATCTGATTTGAGATCAAAGATAACATATTTGCAAGATTCTCTTTCATCAAGAAAAGAATCAGTTAATAAGCTTATCGCTTCGATTGGTGGTGACTATGAGAAATTGGTTGGGACCAAATTGGATGGAGATTCTACTGATATTCAATTGAATGATAAGATTCGCTCGCTTGAAGAAAAGTTCGAGGAAAAGCAATCTAAAGTAATATCCTTAAAAGGTGAAGTCGAAACCAACAAACTGTTAATGGAAGCAAGCAAAAAATCTAAAGAAGTAAACTTGAGTAAAATGCAGGATCTCAAAGCAAACATCACCAAAGTCATCGAAGAGGATGAAATTTCAACTTATGAAGAAGTGGTAGAGGACTTAGAAGAGAGTTATGGAAACGTGATGGAAGATGTTAGCACCTCTGAAGTTACCAAACAATTCAATATTACTGCAGTTTCTATAGCAGAGAAAAACCAACATTGTTTGTTGTGTAAGAGATCGTTTGAAGGTGATAGTCTTCAAAAGTTTATCAATGAATTGAAGCAAAGCGTGGACGAAAAGAAGATTAAGGAAATTAATGACCAAGCACAAGAAATAAAACAAGAACTTGATGGCGTAAAGGCGATCAATACGGATATTCTTAACTATAGGGAATGTGTAGGTCAAGCTGCTGAAATAGGTAAGCGAATTCAAGATTTGGAATTGCAATTAGGTTCGTTGAGCGTGGATTTGCAGAAAGAGGTATCTGAGTTAGAAACGATAAAGTCTTCCTTGGATCAAGCTATTCTTTTAAGAAAACCTTTGACCGAATTAATGAGATTAAATGCTGAGATTAGCGACTTGAGAAAACAAATTGCAGATTTGAGTGACGAGCTTAATGATTTTGGAAGCGCTATATTGTCAATAAGTGAATTGCAAGGTTTACAACAAGAAAAGAACAACAAGATTAAGGAAGCTAGACAAGATGTCACAAAGTTTACGGAATCCAAATATGTCGTACAAAGAGAAATTCAAAGATTAGAAAGCAAAGTTAAGGACGTTCAGTTGCAAATCAGCAATCTAGAAAAATCTCTTTCAGAAGTAACTAATATTAAGAATTCGATTTTGGAGATTGAGAGATCTAGTGAAAAGAATCAAGGAAAGATGGAAAGTATTGATGCTAGTGTGAAAGAATTAGAAATTGAGAAGGAGAAGCGTATCAAATCTTTACATGAGGCTCAAGAAAAGATTAGAAAATCGGAACTAGAGATGGAAACCGAAGTGGAGTCTATTCTGCAACTATTCAATTCCTACACTCTGCTCCATGAGGTGATAACCGACTTTGAGACGACAGGGGTTTCCGCATTAGAAGAAAACAATACGCGTATGGAGGAGGTATCAAATATCCTTGAAGACTTAAATAAGAGAATCCAAGTTATCGTGCAAGACATAAAAGCATTGGAGAAGGAAGTGTTTGATGCATCAGCAATTGAAAGAAACATCATTGTAAATATAGATTACCGCGTCCAACTTAACAAATTGGATGAGACCGATTTTCAACTAAATTCAATGGATATCGAAAATGCGCAAACCAAAAAGGAAGAATATCAAGAAATGTCCAAGCGATTAAGACAAGAAATATCCGATTTAACTTCCAGACATGCAGGGAAAACCGGTGAAGTTAAACAAATCCGAGATCAAATCAAAGGGCTCCAAAAAGAATTAGAAACAGAATACAAGAATGTGAATCAAACATATCACGAAGAATGGATTAAATTGCAAACAAATATGCTTGTTTCGAATGATATTCAAAATTACTCAAAGGCATTGGATAATGCAATTATGAAATACCATAGTCTTAAAATGGAAGACATCAATAGGATTCTTGGAGAATTATGGTCTCAGACTTATAAGGGGTCAGATATTTCCACCATTGCCATCAAGAGCGATGTCAATTTACAAGCTAAAGGAAACCGGTCATACAATTACCGTGTAGTTATGGTTAAGAATGCAAGTGAATTAGATATGAGAGGTAGATGTTCAGCAGGTCAAAAGGTTCTTGCAAGTATACTTATTAGACTAGCATTAGCTGAATGTTTTGGAGCTAATTGTGGTATGATTGCTTTAGATGAACCAACTACGAACTTGGATCTGGAAAATTCGGAAGCTTTAGCCGAGGCTTTGAATCATATTATTGAATATAGAAAAGAACAACTGAACTTTCAATTAATCGTTATTACTCATGATGAAAAATTCTTGACTCATATTAAAGGTGACCGTTTCACTGATCATTTCTATAGAATCCAACGAGATGAAAGTAACAAATCTAGGATCTATAGTTTACCAATTGGTAGAATTCAAGAAGCATAGACTTTGTAGATTTTTATTTCATATATTTGTACATACAATATTTACACTTTTTGATGATTGTTTGTACCTTCGGAAGGACTCTGTACACATTCATGCAAGTTGTAGGCGGTATCATTCTCTTGTTCAGTCTTCAATTGACATAATAATTTATCTTTATGCCTCCATAAATGCTCTAAATATCTTTCCAATTTTTGTCGTTTCACTGGAATTCGAGAAACAGGACGGACTTTTATATGAATAGTAACTATTATTTGATTTCGACAGGAAAACATCTCTAGTAAGCTAGGAGGATTATACAGAAAATGCTTTAAATGCCTTTGACTATACAAGATAGTCACATCATAAAGATTTGAATAGGGATGTGGTTTGCTTGACTCCAAAGCGCTTATTATATTAGCAAACCCAGAAAATCTGGGGTAAAGCAAATGATTCAAATGAGGCAAGTAATATTTATTGGACAATTGACGTTGTAATCCCGCTCCTTCTTTAGTCCAGATATTAACTTCCGGAAATAATACAATCCATTGAGATAACTTACTTCTTAATAATCTTGAGAATACAAATCCAAGTGATTTTTGATCAATTTCCCAATTCTCATCTGACTTCAACATGTGAAGCAAGATTTTTATTGTAGGAACTCTCCAAACCAAGAACCATGAAAAGAAGTTTGTAACTGGAAGATTAAGTTTCTCTGATTCATGAGGTAGATATCCATGTTTGTCTGAAACTGACATTCTGGCTAAATAATTTATAACGAAAAAGTCAGCTAAGGATTCATGATTACTAACAATGATTGCTGGATTCGAATCGAGTCTATCACCGAGAATTCTAAACTTTACCTTATTGAAATGCTAGATGAAAAGTTAGTAACGAAGACCTATAGTCAACCAAGCAAGTATGACTTACAATGAAATACAAAGAAACATCCCAAAAGAAGTTTCCAAAGTTTATTCTGAATGAATTGGCTATTTCAGGTATAAATATGGCAAATAAAGTACAGATAATGGCAACTATTTGATACCATAATATAACATGGAACAATACAATAAAACATAATACCCCTCTCGTCCAATGATATAAGTTGGATAGATTTCTATCGCCATTAAAAGATATTCCTAAATGATCAACAAGTTCCATTTTACCTTTGTTGATATAACCCTGTTAGCTGTAGAAGAAATTTCGTTGCCGCTTATGTCAAATCGAATTGAAAATTGATTTTTTGCAATCAAAACATAGCCGCATACACTGCGGCCGCAATTTCTTTTCTCCTCACGTGCTCGGTTAACAAAAAAATAATCTATAAGGTCATCTCGGAAATTTTTTGTACTTTTTATTTCTTCTTTAAAGATCTTACTTAATTCATATATAAAGTAACAGATTCAAGAAGTGTATATAATGTCGCGCCTTATTGTTAAGGGACTTCCTAAATACTATACTGAAGACAATTTGAGGCATCATTTTGCCAAACAAGGTAATGTGACAGATGTCAAATTAATGAAAAAGAGAAATGGTGAATCAAGAAGATTTGCATTTATTGGATATAAATCTTTTGAAGATGCTGAAAAGGCAGCTAGATTTTTTAATAAATCGTTCATAGATACTGCTAGGATAGACGTTGAATTAGCGAAAACATTCTCGGATCCAAATGTTCCACTTTCATTCAAAGAAAAGAGAAGAAGGGATGAAGATAGATTAAGACAACAAGAAGAGGAATTAATCGAACAAGAAAATAGACAGAATGCTAAGAAACAAAAGATAGATCATATTTCTGAGATTGATAAACAGATCGAAAGTAATCCGAAATTGAGGGAATATATGGAAGTTATGAAACCTTCTCATCAAGTGAAATCTTGGGCCAATGATGCCATCGCCGATGGATCTGGTGGACCATCAGCTAAGGAATTAGAAGAAGCTTTAAACAAACAAGAAAGTGGCGAAGCAGTTTCTAAGGTGGCTGGATACGACGTCTTGCAAGCTGAAGAAAATCCAAGTGATGACGAATACAATGACTTCACTGCTCCTAAAGATGAAGAAGATGAAGAGGAAGAACAAATGATGAGTCTCCGAGACTTAGACGACAAAGCTCATGACGGAGAGCAACCGGAAGAAAGCATCGTAGCCGCAGACGAGAATGTTTCTGATTTAGATTGGTTGAAATCAAGGAGAATTCGTATAAAGGAAAATGAAGATGGTCAAACGGTATCAGAGACTCCCTCACAAGAACCCGAAGAATCTGCGAAGCAGAAACCAAGACGTCCAGAAGTGCCTTCCGAGGAATACAAAAGTCCAGAAGAACAAACTATTGAAAAATTACAAGAAACAGGTAGATTATTTATAAGAAACATTTTATACGAAGCGACCGAAGATGACTTTAGGAACTTATTTGAGAAATATGGTCCTCTTGAAGAGGTGCACATTGCTATAGATACCCGAACATCCAAATCCAAGGGGTTCGTTTATATACAATTCGCAAATCCAAGTGATGCAGTAAGAGCATTTAAATCTTTAGACAAGCAAATTTTCCAAGGAAGATTATTACATATCTTAGCAGCAGACAAGAAGAAGGACCATAGATTGAGTGAATTTGATTTAAAGAATTTGCCTTTGAAGAAGCAACGTGATTTGAAGAAGAAAGCACAAGCAGCAAAGACTCAATTCAGTTGGAATTCTTTATATATGAATAGTGATGCTGTTTTAGAATCGGTTGCTGCCAAATTAGGTATCGCTAAGTCCAAATTAATCGATCCTGAGAATTCTAATTCTGCTGTGAAGCAGGCATTGGCTGAAGCACATGTTATTGGAGATGTGAGAAAGTACTTTGAAGATAGAGGGGTTGATTTAACTAGTTTCGACAAAAAGGAAAGAGATGATAAAGTAATTTTGGTCAAGAATTTCCCTTTTGGTACTACAATTGATGAAATTGGTGAAATGTTCTCAGAATATGGAGAGTTGAAACGTATGTTAATGCCACCTGCTGGTACTATTGCTATTGTCGAATTCCGTGATGCTCCTAGTGCAAGAGCTGCATTTACCAAGTTGGCATATAGAAGATTCAAGACTAGTATTTTGTATTTGGAAAAGGGTCCAAAGGACTTGTTCACTAGGGAACCAACAGCCAACGAAAATGTTGTAATTTCTGAAGAAGAACAACAAAAACCCGCAGTCGAGGCCAAGGTAACAGCAAATGAAATCTTGGGAGGAGAAGGTACTAAAGCAGAAGAAGAAGCTAATGTGATTGAAGGCCCAACTGTTTCAATTTTCGTCAAGAATTTGAATTTCTCCACAACCGCAAATGCATTATCAGAATTGTTTAAACCATTGAGTGGATTTGTTATTGCAACTGTCAAGACTAAACCAGATATTAAGAAGCCAGGAAACACATTGAGTATGGGTTTCGGATTCGTTGAATTCAGAACAAAGGAGCAAGCATCCGTAGCCATTTCAACCTTAGATGGTCATGTTTTGGATGGTCATAAATTACAATTGAAATTATCCCATAAACAAGGTGGTTCTACTTCCGCTAGTAAGATCAAGAAATCCAACAAATCAAGTAAACTTATTATTAAGAACTTGCCATTTGAAGCTACCAGAAAGGATCTTTTGGAATTATTTGGTGCTTTTGGTCAATTGAAATCAGTAAGAGTACCAAAGAAATTCGATCTGAGTGCTCGTGGTTTTGCATTTGTGGAATTCAATTTAGCAAAAGAAGCAGAAAATGCTATGACTCAATTAGAAGGGGTCCATTTACTTGGAAGAAGACTTGTAATGCAATATGCTGAACAAGAATCCGAAGATGCCGAAGTTGAAATTGAAAAGATGACAAAGAAGGTTAAGAAACAAGTTGCAACTCAAAATTTGGCAGCTGCTAGATTGGCTGGTAAAGGGAAGATTCAATTAGAAGATGAAAAGGATGAGTTTAATGATTTCTAGATTCATCTCTTTAGTGTACAATAGTTAATTTTATAGAGAATAGGACGAATAATACATATCGGTATAAAATTAAAGACGCATTCTCTGTCTCTCTCCCATTCTTGTCTCGTTCTTCCAGATGGTAGGAAAGAAAAAAGAAGGTTTTAGAAAAAATAAAAATTAATTTTCCGATTTTGATCAACGAAAGGCAAAAGAGTCAAAGACCAAAGGGGACATAGTAAAACATGTTGGATTTATTGCTAAAGTCAGTAAAAGGACATCGCCAAGGAGTGAACTACTTCTTCAATAATGCCAGCATACGATCATTAACCTTGAAAGGTTTCAATCAACAACGTTTAGTTCCAAGATCTACCAAAGTAAATTTCTTACGTTCAAATACACAAATATTGAAATCATCAATGTTTATGAATCCATTTAAGATGAATAGCAAGATTAGCATTACTCAGCAAGTAAGAAACATGAGTTTCAGAGGATATAATCGATATCGTTTTTCTGATTTACAATGGAAGAAGTTAAAGAATCCAACCATATTTACAGTATTATTCTGTGCTGGTACGACGCTAGCAGTACCATTTTTATTTGATAACACTCCTTTGTCTTATTTGAAAAGGAATCCACGAGTAATCATCTGGGGTTTAATTGCCATTAATGGAGCTGTCTTTTTAGCATGGAAAGTCCCAAGTTTAAATAGATATACCATGAAATACGGTATAATATTTAAAGACCACATTCAATCAACCGGGGCAATGTTAGGATCCGCATTCTCCCATCAAAGTTTTGTTCATCTTGCTGTGAATATGCTTGCACTTTATTCCTTTGGTACCACACTCATCTCATACATGGGAGCAACCCAATTTACCTTACTTTATTTGAATTCCGCCGTTATTTCCTCATTGGCTTCAATCGCTATACCTACTTTATTAAGAGGACCATTGGCTGTGGCATCTTTAGGTGCTTCCGGAGCAGTCTTTGGGGTATTTGCAGCATTTGCATTCCTTTTCCCCAATGCAGGTATTTCGTTGTTCTTTTTCCCAATACCTGGAGGAGCTTGGACATTATTCTTAGGATCATCTGCTTGGAATGCAGCAGGATGTATTTTAAGATGGGGTGTTTACGATTATGCTGCTCACTTAGGAGGTAGTTTTATCGGGTTCCTTTACGCTTTCTGGTTTAAGAGAGAAAGAAGTCAAAGACTTCGTAAAAGTATGTCTATGTTCCGTTAGAAAAGAAAGTGTTAATCTATTTATAAATTAAATGTCATGTAAATAGTTCTAGATTATATGTTACAATTTTTTTGATCATGCAAAGGAAACACTCTTCTTCTTCTTCTTTGGAGGTTCTGAATCATTTTCTTCCATTTCTTCCGCCTTTCGAGCCTTCGCATTCTTTCTACGGACAACACGAGCAACTGATGCCTTATTCTTTAATTCACTCTTTTTACCTTCCAATTTATCCTTCTTATCTTGTTCCTTTCTTTCCATTTCTTGTCTCTTCAATGCTCGTATTTCTTCTAGTCTTCTAGACTTTTCCAATTTACTTTCATTCACTTGATCATATTTATCATTAATAGACTTAACCAATCTGTTCATAGTTAATGAATCATCATCTTCAACAAATTTCTTCCCCTTCTTACCTCTCTTGGCTTTAACACCTGGGATAACAGCCTTGTTCAAAGTTGGAATATCCAACTGATCTTCTCTATATTCTTTACCACTTGTAGCTCCATATAACCTTATCTTTGCTTGTTGCTTCTTAACTGCTAACTTTGATAATTTCTTAACTTTGGATTTTGGAGTTAATTTGGATTGAATTTCCAACTGATTTCTGGCAGCTGAATCTGTAAACACTTCCGAGTCAACAGATCGTGTCTTATTTTGAGTCTTACTTCTCTTTGCTGTTTTGGATTGTCTATGAGCCATGGTTGGTGATGCTATATATAATTTTTAATGCTTAGAATGGTTTATCATTTCAAATAAATTTCCAAAAAAAAAAATAAACTCATCTTAAGATGAGATGTGGTTGATACATTGAATCAAAATGAAAAAAAAAAAAGAAAATTCCGATACCGGGAGTCGAACCCGGGTCTGCTCGGTGAAAGCGAACCGTGCTAGCCGTTACACTATATCGGATTTTTGTTGAAAATTATTTTCGATTTTAAAAGGGCCACATGAAAATTCACGTGATTTCCACCTGATATACGCATGACTTTCACGTGCTAATTTTGTCATTGTTAGTACCTAAGCGCTATGGGAGTTTACATTAATTTTACTGGAAACCACAAATCTTGAGTATAGTTAGTCATATTTCATAATTGATTTATTCATGTCTACAACACAACAATTAGCTTAGAGTTGTGGAAGAAAAAGAAATGGTTTGGGGAATTATTCATCTTTTCATTTTACATCACTTGCTATCAATCAATTTTTGCATTAATAAAGAATAGAGTTTCCAAAACTTGTGTTTGGGACATGGTTTGCAAGGAGAAGTACGAATCGGGTTACGGGGAATATTAGAACGAAAACTGATATATGCTAAAAACGACTTGAATCCAGAAAAAAATGTAAAAAATTCGTGGATTTTCCAGAAGATATTACAGGCCAATTAGAGGGTCCGTGTAGTGCTTTGACCTTTAGGTTTAGTGAGTAAACACCTAGGTCTCTTTTAGTGATCTCAATGTAAGCAGTATATATATTTATGCAGTATGGAACATGAATACTTTCACGATTGGGCAGTCGAAGTGAGCGAACAAAACTGCCTCTAAGTGCTCCAACAAACGCTTAAGAGAAAACTTTTATTCATTGAAATATATTGAAAAACAATTTGTATTTTAAAAGTGAAACAAATCTACTTAAAAACGGAAGCATATCTTCCAGAATAGATACTAAACAATTCTAAACCCTATTACCTAAGTATTCAGGACCTTCAAAGACACGATTTTCATCTGGCTTGTTTAAGTCCTTAAGATCAGCAACTGGACGTTCACCTTGAGCAGCGACTCTAATAATCAATCTTGGGTCACTGGTGTCGAAATCAAGAATAGCAGAATGAGAGACAATTCTGTTATCGAAAACAACAACGGTATTTGGTTTCCAATTGACTCTGATTTGTAAATCGTGAGATTTGTAAATATGGTCAATTAAGAAGTTGAGTAAGTATTCAGATTCTTCTTGCTTGTAACCAACAATACTTCTAGTGAAACCCTTGTTGATGTATAAAACCTTTTGACCACTTGGAGTTTGTCTAACAACTGGGTGGTGGTTTTCGACTGGAGCTCTCTTAACGACACCACCCTTAACAATTGAGAAGTTGGCTTGTTCAACAGCACTGTGGACAGCTTCTAATCCTTGTAATCTTTCCTTGAATAATGGAGATAAACGGTTGTAAGCTTCAACATTGTTAGCAAAGACAGTATCACCACCACCAGAAGTTGGAATGTTAGTAACAGCAAGGAAAGAAACTGCAGTTGGTTGTAATTCATAAGAAACATCAGAGTGGAATTGAACCAAGTTAGTTCTTTTAGCAAAAACATCTTCTTTGGTGTCACCACTTAAGACAACATGAACATCTGGGACATCCTTTGGAGCACCGGAGGTTGGGTGAATATGGACGTTACCAAAGTGCTTTGTGTATTCGGTGAGGTATTTAGGACCTTTAGAAATGAAATCTTGATCTCTGAAAACAAGCACACCTCTTTGAGAAGCTAATAAGGCTAATTCGTCTTTACCAGCATCAGTTAATTCAGATAATTGAACACCAGAAATTTCAGTACCTAATTTTGGAGAAAGGTTGTTAACCTCAATTTCAGCATCTTTTGGTAATAAGTTTGAAAGTTCCTTATCAGCTCTTAATGCTGGATCATGATGTTCATGAAACTTGTATGGTTCATAATGTTCATTCTTGTTCCAAGTTGGTAAGTAAACTTCAGAATCAGCATTGACCTTCTTGGCGGATGATTCGTCAACGGAGACGATACCCTTTTCGTTGGTGACTAATTTACTGCCACTGTAGAGGGCCTTTGGAACGACGTTGTAACGGACTGGAGACATTTTTGTTTAAGTTTTTATAAGCTAAGTTGTGCTTGATGATTGATATAGAATTAGAAAAGTTGGAATAGGATCAGTAGAGAATTGATCTATATTTATAGTTGAGAGATTTGATCTATCTTCGATCGGGTTTATTGATTTATCAAAGGGGTGGAGGGAAGGGGAAGAAGAAGTGCGAAGCTGTGGTGGAGAATTGCTGCAATTGTGGCTGCGAAAAAAACAAAATGCGTCAACGGTTGCACATCGAAAGGGAGTTCACACAGTTTTTGTGTATAATTCCGCCAAAAAATTCCCAATTCGGAAATTTCAAAGATTCCGGGGTTATTTTGAGTTGATTAATTGTTTAGATTATTCCGAATAGTAATTTTGTTTGAGATTGTGGCAATGGTAAACAAGGTCGGGATTATTCAAATTCTCCCATATCCTTATCTAAATTGACTCATGCTTGCGACTTATTAGCCAATTTGATGTACAATGTTCTTTTGATGATAGATCACCCCATGTGGCTTGCCATTTTCAATTAGATCAACTGAAACAATCAATTCCAATAATACCTTTCAAAGCTTTGGATTTTCAATTACTGTACAGTTACTGGTTACCCATAGCCACATACATGCCGACTAAACAAGGACCGGATTTTACTCATTCGCTGTGGGAATTAACAAAAAATCTCGGGAATTTGTGAATTGGAAACGGTCCGAAATCACCATGTTTAATGGCTCCATGTTTTCAGTATCCATTAAGACAACACAAAGGTTGAAAAATGTGGGACACTTATTCCGAAAGGAGGAGTTACCTAAGAAATGACATTAAACAAGTCCAATGAAAGCTGGGTTTCCATCGCGAGGAAATTCACCAATGGGCCACAACATTGCAGACTGGAAAGTGAATTATACCTGCATTAATAAATCAATATTGGCTTCATTGGCCACAGCGGGGTTCAATTAATAAATGCCAGCCATATTACTCATATTCAGTTCACAGTTATACATCAAGACAGCCAAAAAAAAATGTGTCTACTAATCTAATCTCCTGGCAAACATCAAGTACTCCTATTANCAAGACAGCCAAAAAAAAATGTGTCTACTAATCTAATCTCCTGGCAAACATCAAGTACTCCTATTATTCTGAATGAGAATAATTCAAAGTTATTATCCTGAAGAGAAAGGAAACCTAACCATCATTTATGTATTATTGCAAAGTTAGCTATTTGTCACTTATTGAAACAGATTGTCCAATGGCTTATTGCATAACACTTATATTGGTATTTCCTACTACCGTGAGTTTTTTTATT